AGCTGACAGGAAATGCAGGGGTAAAATCTTGGGAATCACTCAAGCTCATTCAGTTTCCGTCCATTGAGTATCTACTTGTGGTGAAAGATGAGTCTCTGAAGTTGGGACTTAGGCTTCAGACCAACATCTTTGAGTTTTCTCTCCAGACAGCTGGCTGTGGTCAATGGAAAGATGGGCATTTGTGACAGCTTATCAGTTTGTATGAAATTCACATCCTTGGCCACATCTTACCAAGTAGATACAGCAGTCTGCTCTACCCAGCCCTCATAACAGTCATGGTACAATAGCTCATCATAATAAGGACTTGAATCTCGGTTCCTTGATGCTCTGGATCATTTCCCTTCAAATATCCACTTACTGATGAGGCCCATTCCCTCTGTCCTAATTTATAATCTGTGGCCAGGTCAAAATATCATGATCAAGGTAAGTTTTAAGGGAAAACATCAAATTTTTAGGAACCTAGTCAAGAAAACTTAGTCTGCAACAAGCAGACAGGTATGAGTCTAAAGAAGTGCTGAGAGCTCATCTTTGATCCTGAAGGATGAGAGTGAGAGACAGAGAGAATTAACTTGGAATAGTTTTGTCTTTTGAGTCCTCATAATTGACTCATCATCCACTAACACACCTTCTCCAAGTACGCAATACCTTGTAATCCTTCCCAAACAGCTTCACCAACTATGAATCAAAGTATCAAAATCATATATGTCCAAGAAAGTCATTTACATTCAACTCCCTCATACTGTCTGGAGACTTGGGAAGCATCATACTAGCTTCTGATGTAGAATTCTCACCCTTTTGTGCACTGCTGGCATTTTTCAGAGAGCAGAACTATCTCCAATGTGTCTCTTCTCATGTGGACACTTCAGAAAACCTCCCCATGAATTGCAGATTTGTGTCTCTATGAACATCTTAGGATAAAGCTCTCAATCTTCCTAATGCTGTGGACCTTTAGTACAGTTCCTCATGTTGTGGTGACCCCCAACCATAAAATTATTTTTGTTGCTACTTCATAACTCTAATGTTGCTATTGTTATGAATCATAATGTAAGTATCTACTTTCCAATGGACTTAAGTGACCCCTGTGAAAAGGTCACTTGCCTCAGTCCCACAGGGCATTGAACCGGGATCAGAAGACCTGGAAGAGAGAACTGGAGGACAGGGGGCACAAAGAACAGGTGGCTTGTCTATAGTTTGATCAAACCACGATTATAATTTTTTCATATAGGGGTTATATACACAAAAAGGCAGGATGTGAGGAAGGGGATGACGCAGGAGTGTAGGTGTTCAGGGGGAGTACAGATATCTTCCAGAACAGAGTGTCAACTGGGTGGAGGTTCAGGGGACAGGTCACTATGACTAAGTTGGTACTATCCACAAAGGCTACCAAGCTACAAGGTCTATGACTACTCTGGCTGGCAATTTTCCACCAAAGCTGCTTGCTTACAATAGCTTATAGCTATCTGTTTCAGTGTTTTTCCACAAAGACACAAGACTTTGTGCTAGCAGGCTGACTTAGGGCAATGGCTGATTTTTAGACCTTCGGTGTATAAGCAGGGCTGCCCCTGACAGTCACTGACCCCCTCCAAAGGGGGGTCACAACCCACAGGTTAAGGAACCCACACTGTCTTAGGAAGATATGAAAAGAGATTCTTGTGCTCCAGTTTCTTCCCCTAAGAAGAGTTTTGTGTATCTGCTCCAATAGAGAACCCTTGTTTAGCTTCCCATACCCATGCTGGATGACTCATGTCCACATCACAGGCTCAAAAGAGAATAAATCCTGAGCCTAACTATGTCTCAGAAACAAAAAAGACAAACACCAAGCACACCTCACAATTCTCACAGAGAGACAGAACGAACAATATCAGTGGTCTGCCATATGTAACAATAAAAATCTGATGATGGTAGTAACCAGTCAATCATTCCATGCCATAGCCCTTTGGTAACTGTCTCAAACAGGTGGGACCTTCAGTGTCAATGTCTTTCAGCCTCTAACTCTCCCAGACACAGTATGTTAGTGTGAACATTTGTTATGTCCCAGTGCAGTGCCTCATGGTGCTTAGGGAGTCTTCTATCAATGAGAAACTTGACTAGGGAAAGTCTGCTGAGCAAGCAATGGAAGGTTTTCAGAGCCTGGGTCACAAGGATTTAAGCCATAGAAGTAGAAAAGATGATAAACTCAGGATGACTATAGTTATCAATTTTCTGTCACAGTGGGTAATATGTAGAACAAGGTTACTTCGTCTGCATAGCATGTAAGCAGAAAATGCTGTCATATACCTGCCCATCCCTCCTCAAGACAAAGGTTACCTAATTTTATGAAATATGAGAAAAATTAATCTCTGACAGATGAGGTCAAAGAGCAATTATGAATGTTCTCCATTTATCCAGGCTACTTCCCTTCAACACTTTCTAGGCACAAAGTCTCATACGCTATGTAGCCATTGCATAGCCCTGGACATGTTCACCCTTGTGTCCATTTCACCCAGAATACCCATTTTTTTATATTAAAGATACAACATTTAAAGTTACACTCCCTGGTTCTCCAGTATTCTAAAATGACTAGACATTGATAATAACCGATGGTGCTCCTTAGTTTGCAGGCTTTTATTAGTCATACACTCTAGACAATCCAGAGACCATACTCTACTACCAGCATGTACTGCATCTTGTACAGAGCTGCAAAGAGCATTGATCATACTACAGTGTTTATAAACCAAATGCTCTGTGGGTTCATTTAGGCTCATGAGAGAAGGTGTGTATTGAGAATTTAGCCAGCAAAACTACCCTTCTTTTGTCATGGATGAGAGCTCACTAGACAAAACCTTCTGCAAACAGAAGGACATGAACTTAAAATTAGTAACCACATAAAAGCCTTGTATGGCAGTGGAGTGCCTATAATCACACCTCTATGGAGATAAAAGGAGATAGATCCCTTGGAATTTCTGTGTTAGATGGTCTAACCAAAGTTACAACTTTCAGCTTCCAAGAAAGTGTCTCAGTAAGCAAGGTAAAAATGACACAGGACCTCTGTTCTATTCACACATGAATAAAAACATGCAAGTGATCTAAACCACCCATTCAAACTCATACACCTGTACTCAGATACACACACACACACACACACACACACACACACACACCACATCACATCACATCATATTAATGGGATGCATGAAATTGTGGAAAAAGAAAAAAAACATTTATCAACATTTCATCTTTCCAAAATGACAGTTTTTACCAGCACCAGATACTCATGGTGCTTAGACTGAACCTGAGAACACTCTCATAAGGTGTTTATACTGGCAAACCTCACAAAGTACTTCCTGCTTATGTGCAACCAGCCACACATACGGCCTATATGCAGAAAAGGACACATCCTTCATGCTGTCAGGGTCAAGCAAGATTGTTTACAGGAGTGGAAACATGTGATTTGTTATCTTACATAAACAAATCAGGCAATTACAAGAATAATTCCCAGCATTCCTGGAAGGCCATCTGTCCTTAGGCAAGTGGGGTTTAAAGGTTAGTGGCATTTTCTTTTATATTTCTCTTAAGCATAATAATTTTAAACTTTTAAACATAATATTCACCATCACATTAAAATATTCTATTTTTTCTGATAGTTTTTGTTTTCAGTATGTCTAGGAAATGTGTTTCTTGATCTACATACCTTAGACATAACCTGTATTTTTAAATTAAAATACAAAACTACCTCATGTATTTTTCCCACTGGTATTTTTGTTTCCTGTGAGTATTTGTATCCTCACACATAACTTGAAGCACTGAAATGTACAATAAATCTTAATGCATGTTCTGTTTCTCCTACACCTGGGTGTCTCTGATTCTCATGATCAGTGTGAGAGACCAGACCAACTCCATCTTGCGTTCAGGCTCCATCTTAGTGAACCTGACCTAAGGTTGAACTAGAGATAACCAACAAGCCTGAATCTGGCACTAGTCTCCTATTGATTAATTGTGGTTCAGAGGTCCATCAACGAAATACAGAAGTTTTGTGTTGTTGTTGTTGTTTTCAAACCAGGGTTTTTGTCTGTGAGAGTCCTGGCTATCCTGGACTAGCTTTGTAGACCAGGCTGTCCTCAAATTCACAGAGATATGCCTGCCTCCAGAGTTTTGGGACAAAAGGAATACACCACGATACCAGGAATAAGTTTTATTTCTTTTTCATCCCTTACATGCTTACATTACATCCCCTTCTAGCATGTTATTTCTTTTCACTTAATGTCTCAACATTATAATTGTTTCAGCTTATTCTATGTCACAAGCCAATGTCACAAGATCTTTCCAAAAATAAACAGCCCCATGATCTAGACTAGAAATTCTAATGTGGTTCCAAACTCATACCTTAATATCCATCCAGAGGAACTGAGCCGCATCCCAAATACTGACACCTCAACATTTGAAGCAATCACCTTTAGTTGCGCAGGTTATACTTGGCCTAGTAAACCATAGAGATAGAAGCATACTTCTAGATGGTTTGTGAACTTCTGTTCTAACAAAGATGATTTCAGCACAGTGACATGTAATAGGTAAGTTTTTAAGCTTGCCCTTTATCCATTGTCTCCTGTTTAAAAACAAGACCCATAAAAGTAGATGTGTGAACGGTCAGAGTCAGGAGAACTTCAAATCTCCAATCTAAAGTATTCTAGTGATTCTCAAAGAAATAGAGAAATGGAGATGTCACACCACATAGAGTGCTGTTAGATTCTAAATGAGTAGAAGCAGTGAGGTGGCAAATGTCACATAGTCATAGCACAGCCACCTACTGCAAAGATTTACTGGTCATTAGGACTGAGAGAGTTTGCTGTAATTCACACTAAGCAAATTCTGTGGCCTTGATCCTTTACCAACACCATCCACAGCTCCTCTGGCACCTTTCCTGAGAATGTTGTAATTTATTTGAGTTTTTCTTGGGCAACCACTGAACATTGACATTGACAGAGAGCAAATATTCTATGTTGCTCTTCATACACCTTGGGCAGAGCATTCTGTTCACACAGAGGAATCATAAATAGACTGCTGTGGATTGGAGGACTCTGGACACCATGTTAAGGAGGAGGACACCATAAGCCCTGTCCTCCTGTCCTCTCTTACCACACCATGTGGAAGGACAGACAGGCTCAGCTGTGCCTATTTTCAGTTCTTCTTGCTTTCCTGCCTTCTTCTTCCTTGCCCAATGGAGACCCGTGAGTACCTCTAAGGCCCTCTTCTATATTGTCCCTCCTCCAATTAAAAAGCTATCTATTTTCTTTTACAATCCTTCCCCTGAAAATCTCCCTAAATTGTTTTTGCTTTTTAATTAACAAATGACTATATATATGTTCTCCAACTTTGGTATTACATGATTCCAGGTAATCTTTTTTTTCCAGCTCTTAAGCAATCAGTGTTACTAAACTGAGGTGTGGTGTGATTTAGAGTAATGTTCCCCTTATTACTGAACTAGTAGTATCTCAAATCCCAATGGTCAGAGACATTCTCAGGTGTTGAAACTATTTAATCACTTTGAAAATAAGCATTTAAATTGTTGTCATTCTTGCTTGGAAATATGCAGCCTATGGATTAACCTTGAGACAGATAAGATTTCAGGCAAATCAGAACCCTGTGGATGTTTGTGTCCTAAAACAATATTCCTATTAGGATCAAAGACCTTGGATTAAACTACCAGGAGGATTTGTCATTTGATGGCCAAAATAACTATATAATTAAGATTATATTGCTGACTGTGGTTTTTGTGTCTGTGTTCTGAAAATAGATTTAAGGTGGAAAAATAATAAGGAAGCTGGTGATATTTTTGCATACTGTGATACAGAGTAACAGGCTAGATTTCGGGGAACAAAAATCTCTCATTCTAGGAAAAGGTAGAGAATGATTCCTACAGAAGCCTTTGGCACTTGCTCAAGTGTAACATAGATGAATCATACAAGTTTGAATTTCACAGTCACATTATAACTCTTATGTTGAAAAGTACCCCAAAATAAAAACAGAGTATTGGGTTAATTTTTTAAGAATTTAAAAATGATAATGAAAACCAATCATGATAAATTTTTATAAAAAGAATAATTATTCCTCCCATATTTTCATTTAAAAAAAAATAAAACCTTTCTGGAACTTGAGTGCTGGCTGCTTAGTGAAGGGAGGACATGCCATTCGAACCTGCCTTGGCAGCTATCACTGCTGAAGCTGATGATTGAAGAGCTGATAACTGGCTTGCCACTCTGCTGTGTGGCAAACTGTGACAGCTGCCACAGTATCAACCTGCCATCTCAGGTTTTTGAAACCTGAATAATAATGATTACTGTTATGAACTCCAGTTATAGACAATGAGATCTGCCATCAGCTGGCCGGAACTCCTTGCTTTCCAGGAAATATATGGTGCTGGCCCCTTCCCAGCTCTACACTGAGACCACTGAGAAAATCTGCCTCCATCTCTACCATCTGAATGAGACGGTGACTGTCAGAGCTTCCTTGGTATCTCACTCGGGAAGGAAACACCTGTTCAATGAGTTTGTGGTTGACAAAGACTTGTTCCACTGTGTTTCCTTCATTGTAAGTACTAGACACTTTTCCTGATTTGTTTTATATACTTATGAACATGGGTGTGAATATCTATGTATAGTATCCATACACATTTGGAAAAAAAAAGGTTAATCTAGAAGCATATGTGTGAACTCAAAACAATAGAAATTTAGAGCATTTACCCAATAAACAAATACCTTAGGGCATCCCACTCCAAAATGAGAAGAGTCAATATTTGTGCATACACAGCTTTCCCAATGAATTCCCTCAAAACAGCCCACTGTGCAGAGAAAAAAAGGCCTCTCCAATTCATAGTAATTACTGCTAGTGAGTTAATAAACTTTGAAACAGCACTCCAGCTAATTAGGATGACATCTCCTATGTGTGATCCTAATATCCTGAAAAAGTGCTGCGTTTCTTCTTCAGAACCTATCCTCAAGACATAATTTCTACCACCATTAATACATTACCTTTCTCTCTAGCTCAGTTTCAGAGTCAGAGCTAATTTTCTTTCATTTCTTAGAGCTAGCTTTCAATCAAGATTCTATTTATTCCCTAAAAAAGACTGTTTTGTTGCTCATATAAACTCACATTGACTTACATAAAAGGTTGTCTTCTTTTCATCCTTTTTTTCCTGACACTGTTTTTTCCTCCATATAATCCTTAAACAGAAACTGATGGACCCTCCATCTCTTTCCTGTGAGGTGGAAGGAGAGAAGGTTAATGAAATAATCTAAGAAATACAGAGAGTCAGATTGTGAAGGGTCTTGTGTTCCTGTTGTTCTCAGATCCCTAGATTATCCTCTTCTGAAGAGGAAGAATTCCTCAACATCGACATCAAAGGGCCAACACATAAATTCAGCAAAAGGAATACTGTGCTTGTGAAGAACAAAGAAAGTGTTGTTTTCATCCAGACAGATAAGCCCGTGTACAAGCCAGGACAGTCAGGTATGAAGCTCCACAGTGGGCAAAGGAATCAAGATGTCATCCTCAACATGGCTCGAAGAAGGTCTGGGTCTTTGGACCTCACTAGAAAATTCTCTCTCTTTCTCTCTCTTTTTCCAGTTAAATTTCGGGTTGTCTCTATGGATAAAAATCTACACCCCCTGAATGAGTTGGTGAGTCTTTTACCTGGGGGTATTGGTGGATTCTTCAAGACAAAATGTCAATGCAATATTCTAATTTTCAGCCCCCCTTAGACATGAGTTGGTCTTTTTGTTTATTCTGCTCTTATGCCGGTTTATATCTGACACCCAGTTACTATTGGCCATACAATGGCTTCTTTATATGTTAGTGTCTTTATTTTGAAGCCCATTTTGTGTAAGTATCTCTGGGTTTTCTTTATACTTTGTGGAGTCTTGTACTGAATAGAACCTTTTAAATTGGTCATGTTTTTTCAGTCATTTCTTTTTGCAGATTCTGTTACTTTGTGCCATCCTTAAGAAGTTCATTTCTAGTGTAACAGTGGTAACACAGACAATTATTTTTATAACTTCATATTTAACACTTGGTTTCTTCCCTAAATAGACTCTTTTAAGAATAAATTTACATTTCAGTTTCTTGTTCTCTGTACTTAGGCAAGTTGTGGCTATCTGTGTTAAATACCCCCTACTATGAATAGAAGCTTCTCTGATGAGGAATACTTTAATCTATAAATATTTTTTAAACATTTTATTTGTTGTATGCATATAAGCACACTGGTGTGTCAGACACACCATAAGAGGGCATCAGATCCCAACACAGATGGTTGTGAGCCACCTTGTGGTTGCTAGGAATTGGACTCAGGACCTCTGGAAAAGCAGTCAGTGCTCTTAACCACTAAGCCATCTGTCCAGCCCCAATCTATAAATAAAAAGGTAAATCAGTATCAGTTGGCTTAATACTGTATCCTTTAGCAGCATAATAATAGTGAGTTGTTCCCTGGGACCTCTCACGCATGAAACCTCAGGTTCTTGGCTCTACAATGATTCCAAGTATGGGGATTTCATCTTGCACAGTGGGACTTAAGTCCAGTCAGACTTTGGTTGATTATTTCCTTGAAATTTGTACTACTATTGGGCCAGTGGCCATGTCTTGCCCAGCTAGTGGTTCTCCTAATTTATAGGCTTCACAGCTGAATGAGATTGCCCATTATCTTTCCCCTCTGATATTATACATAACGTCTTCCAGCTGTATGAAAGCTAGCCAGTAGGGATGATGGTTCCCCTCTGTACTGTCTTGACAGCAGAATATGAAATCCTAAATTGGACATCTAAATCACACCCTCGCCTCCCAAGACACTGAAATTATTGTGTCAGGGAGGAAGGAAAAACTGTAAGAGCCAGAAGTGAATACTGGTAGAGACAGAATAAATGCAAGGGAACAATCCTCTAAACCCAGCATGGTAGCCTCACATATTAACTTACAGTTGTGTTAGCATACACAAGTACATGCATTTAAAAACAACAATAACAACAACAACCTGGCATGGACAGAGGAGATGAACATGAAGTCCCACCCCTAGCTGAGGAGCTATTGTTATTACATCTACTGGAAGAAAGTCAGTTTTATTTAAGAGTAGAGACCCTGCTAAGTTGACCATATTCCTGTGGAAGTTCACATACCCAAGAATATATAGATATGCAGCACAAATGGGAAATAATGGATGGGAAAAAGGGAGAACACTCAATCAGCTACATAGGGGAGAGAGGTAGATCTGGAAGGGGTGAATGTCATCAGAAAATACTGTACAAAATTCTGAAAGAAACACTTAAACATTAAACAAAATATCAATCCACTTTTACTTAATTTTTTCTTTACAAATAAGAAATTACAGTGGACACCATTCATTAAAGATTCTAAAAATTCTGTTTATCACAATAATCTCATGTATAATTTTATCAAGTATATATTTTCCTTTTTTCTGATTTATTCTTATCACATAAAAAACATCCTGACCACAGCCTCCCTCCCCCTGCTCCTCCTAGTCTCCCCACAACTTCCCCTTTCCTCCAGATCCATTTCCCTTCAGAAAAAAAAGTAGCCCCACAGTGATAATCAACTGAACAGAGCACAACACGATACAAGAAGACTAGGCACAAACCCTCATATAAAAGCTGGGCAAGCCAACCCAGTAGAGGGGAAAGTGTCCCAAGATCAGGCAAAAGAGTCAAAGACACATCCACTCCCACTGTTAGGATTCCTACAAACACCCTGAGCTAAACAAGCACAGCTTTCATCTAGAGGACCTAGCACAGACCCCAGCAGGCTCCATAATTGTCACTTTAGTCTCTGTGTATTCCTATAGGTCACACTTTATTGATTCTATGGGCTGCGTTCTCCTGATGTCCTTGACCCCTCTGGCTCCTGCAATCCTTTCTCCCATTCTTCTTTGGGATTTCCCAAGCTCTGCCTATTGTTTGGCTGTGGGACTCTACATCTTAGGCCTACTGGATTTCTTAATTGAAATTAACATGTTCCCCAAATCATAGTTTTCATGAATGAGTTTATAATTTGTTTACTGAATTTATAGCTTGTTGCCTACATTTTCAGTGCAATTATAATTTTTGTAAGTATCCCATTTCTTTTTATCACATGGAACTTGCTGAATTCACTAGTAAAAACGATTTACCTTGGATTCCAATAGGTTTTGTGTGCTAGTTATAAAATGGTCTTGCTGCTACTGTTTGGGGTTCATTTCTCTGCAACTTAAAGAATTAAAAGGCAGGAAGAATCTTGAGCATAATAGACAAAGTCAGCCAGTGAAAAAAGCCTTTTAATAGAGGAGAGGAAGCACACGAACTGCAGGCACATGGGTGGAAAGACTCTGCAGAACGGGATTGGGAAGTCCTGTCTCTAAGATTGGGGGGTTTAAGGATCTTTGAGGTGTCTTATTTCTTTAATTTAGGGTTGATCAGCTTGATGGAAGACAGAGACTTTAGGGCGATCTTTAGGGCGTGCCCTAATCTTAGCCTTGAATGTGTCAGCCTGGTCTACTGCAGAGGTGCCCTCTTATTAGAAGGCACAACCCTATGGTAGGCCTTTAGCTATTTGTCTTAGATCAGGACTGTGAGGAGGGAGTCAGAATTTCACCATTTTTATTACCTGTTTGTGGTTTCTCTTTCTATCTGTCAACCTACCAGGAAGTGGTCTAACTTTTGGTCCCTCGGTCTGACAGTAACAATTTTACTTCTTTAATCACAGTTTTCATAACTTAGTTTTCTTTGATGGCCATAGAGGCTGAGGCCTCCAAGACTTCTGTGAAAAGTTTTTTGTTTGTTGTTTTTTGGTTTTTTTTAATTCACAAATTTGATTACTCAGCAGTGTCAATTGCTTTGTTTTGTTTTGTTTTGTTTTGTTTTGTTTTGTTTTGTTTTGTTTTTTGAGGCATGGTTTCACCATGTAATGCTGGCAGCCCTGGAATTGATAGCTATTGACCTGCCTCAACCTCTGCCTCAGCCTCTGCCTCCTGCTCCACCTCTGCGTATGCCTCTGCCTCTGCTCCCAAGACTGCTGGTATTAAACCATATGCCACCAAGAGAGCCTGGTTGAAGTGATGTTCTTAAAGTCTGCTAAGTCAACAAGTACTTCTCTTTTACTCCTTTGGTTCATCCTAGTCTTAGAAAATTCAAACTGCAGCTTGCACCTTCCTTCTCCTCCTCCTTCTCCTCCTCCTCCTTCTCCTCCTCTTCCTTCTCCTACTTCTCTCCTCTGCCTTCTTCTCCTCAGTACCTAATGGCGAGAATGAGAACAGGAAAGAGATGGTGTCTCTTCTAGGTACCAATTAGTCCAGAGATCAGGAAATGAGGCACACAGAAAATAGAAGGTACCTAGTGACCTGGAGCCAGGTTATACTGCAGAGAAGTTTTTCTCATTCAATCTGGGTATAGTATTTGTCTATGAATATAAGAACAAAATATTAAGAAGGTAACTTGGCACCATGTCATGTTAGCTAAACAAAAGCATCATCCCCCGACCCCTGACCCCTTGGACTTAAGACTTCCTCAAGCATGGGTTGTTAACTGGGTTTTCAGTACCTGGTATGAATTCCATCTTGCAGAACAACATTCAGTTAATCAGAGATCAGTTGGTTGCCATCATAAAAGTTGCACCACTATTGGCTGGGCACATTTTACCTAGCAGGTCGATATTAAGCATCATACAGTTGTCAGCTGGATGAGACCATTGAGGTCTCCTCTCCTGCAGCAATGGAGGAGGCTTGGCAGCAGGGGAGGAAGCCAAAGTACCAGCTTCATTTCTCTACACCCTTTACCTCAGGTGTGTGGTGTCTTCCACAATAGAATATTATCAACTAGTTATTGCAGGCAATCAAGAAGAGTGACAAGATGCTTTATTATTTGGGGGATCTCTAGGACCTCCCTGACAAACAACTCATTAAAGAAGTATCTCATGCCTAGTACTGAGAGCTTTGTTTAATGACCTTTGACCTTCAGGTACAGCATCATCTAGACATGCAGGATGACTTCCTATGTGCTCTCCTTTTAACTTATGTTTCTTAATCTGTGTATAAAGCAGTAAGTTTCCACATGGCTTTTTCAAAGATGCCTAGTGTCGGTTAACCCTCCCACACTCCACTCTCTAAACATACACCCCTTGCACTGGTCAGCAGCAACTCTCCTCTGAAGCAAGAGCAGCTACTGAGCCCTTTCTTGATATTTCTTGAGGAGAGTTAGGCACTGATTTATTCTGTTGAAATGTGCTCAGGAGTTGAGTATTGAGTACACAAGCTAATCCCTTTGTAGCTCATCAGTCAAGGAATGGGAAGGCACTGCCTGGTGTACAATGGGTATATACAGCTTGCCCAGGACATTCCCAACTTACACATTTTGACTGGATATATTTAACACTAGTAGCCCCACTTCACACTAAAAATATTCCTGATTAGGACATGACATTTTGTAATCTCCATACTATAAGGTCTCAGGGCAGGCGGGTCTCCTAGAACATTAGAGAAATCTTGCACATGATGTCCTTCAAAGTTCCCTTTGTGAGTCCCTACCCATTGAGTAATTCGTATGACTCAGGTAGTTCTAGAAAATAGACTTAAAAGTTCTCTATGGTGGTCAATAGACTTACAATTGACTTTATTACTAGATATTAAGTTCATCACAGTTTGGCCGAAACTCCCAACCTAAGGCCTATTCTATAAATCTATTGAATTTGTTGTGTGTGTGAAATTTCTAAATCAGAGGTTCTTACATTTTTATGCAGTTCCTCATGTTATGGTGAAGACCCAACCACATTTGTTGTTATTGCTGTTGTTGTTGTTGTTGTTGTTTGCTACTTCATAACTGTAAATTTGATAGTTATGAATCGCAATGTAAATATTTTTCGAAACAGGTTTGGCAAAGGGGTTGTAACCTGCCGTTGTAAACTAACATTGTTTTCTTGTGTTTCAGTTCCCTCTGGCTTACATTGAGGTAAGAGTATTAAATGTTTCATAATCAGAGAGAAATCAGTCTTATGAAAATCACCTGATATTGGAATGTTGTTAACTGATTTGTTATTTCCCAGGTCACCTTTATTTCTTCCTTCCCCAAAAGAATATTACCAAGCTCCCAAATGCTTCCAACACCAACACAGTGATCCTAGATGCACTGTTGTACTTAATACTTTATTGACTTGGAAACTTACAACCTCTTTCACAGGATCCAAAAATGAACCAAATTATGCAGTGGCGGGATATTAAGACGGAGAATGGGCTTAAGCAAATGTCCTTCAGCCTGGCATCAGAGCCCATTCAGGGCCCCTACAAGATAGTGTTGCAGAAACAGTCAGGAGTGAAGGAAGAACATTCCTTCACCGTGATGGAATTTGGTAAGGATTGGGAAGACCAAAAAGAGAAAGTGGGTGTCATAGGTTTCTGGTTACCATAGGATGAATTATTTTAAACAAATTGAGTTACAAATGCTAAAGGCTGGGTTTCATCTGACTCTAGCTAAAGCTATCCATGTAGCAACATGGGACTTCCAGGAAGTTCTAGGATTTTTCAGAAGCAAATTACTTATTTTTTGTTTGTTTTTCCTGTTTAAGTACATACCCTTGTGATTTTCAGGAAGTGACATATTGTATAACCACTCAACATTCTAACTTTATTGGGTGGACATGCCTGAATAATGGAAAGTCACCATTTCTGGGCAGAGACTCATCATTTAGGCAACTAGACAAGTCGTTCCGCACCTGAGTGTCTCCTCTCTCTCGCAATAGTGCTTCCCAGATTTGATGTCGACGTGACAGTCCCAAATGCCATCTCTGTGCATGATGAGATACTCAGTGTGACTGCATGTGCGAAGTGAGTGACCTGCTTCTCTCCTTCTGTCCTTAAGAATGGATGACACAGAAAAATCCCTGGGATAATGTCTCATTGTAGAATACCTAGAAATGCTACAGTTCTGTACTTCCCCAACTAGAATATTTCCCCTGTTGTGTTCGTTTGTGCACCTTACTACTCTGCATCGATTACTACGAAAACACTCACTACATGGATGCTGATACTGATGGATAAAATCAATTGTATGGAGAGTAAAGAGTTGCTCCCTTTGGAGAAAGGTTGGGACCAAATAAGATCCACTGACCCCTGTAAAGAGAACACAAGCATTAAATCAAGGCATCTTGCTGCCCTCTTTATGGGCTGACAGAAAGCAGAGACACAAGAGCTCACAGTCCACCTCCAGCTCAAGCCACAGCTACCCAAGTTAAACCTTCAGACACCTCAGTCTTCTGCTTGCATTTCTGTGCCTGATAAATGAGGACATTGTACTACAACTAGAATTTCTATTTAAGTCTAGAACCATACAAGAAGGAACTTGCAATATGTGCCTGAATCAAACAGGAGACACACAGCTGAGCTCATAGGTGCTTGTCCTTAGAGTAGACAGGCTCAAAAACTAAAAAATGATAGAACAAAGGCAAAGGATTAAGGAGGTTTGTTAGAATAGCTCTGAGTCCTTTCCCATGCTCCCCATTCATCTCAGCCCCATCATTTAGTAGTTGGGGATCCTGATTTGATTACTTAATCTTTTTCAGAACCACAAAAGGGAGAAGACCATGTCTTCCATAGGTTCTTAATGGGGCTACTTTTTATTATTTATTAATCTATTTATTTACATCACAAATTCTTGACACACACAGTTAGAAAGTGTCAGGAGTAATAATAATAATAATAATAATAATAATTATGAAACTACACAGACTCTGTGAGAAGACAGTGGGTGTCTACTTTAGAAAGAACCTTGGTCTCTGTGAATTCATCTTGTGTCTTGTGACAGATATACCTATGGGAAGCCTGTCCCTGGAGATGTAAAGATAACCATATGCTATGAATATGAGTACTATATCTCTGAGACTGAGTCTGAATGCAAAGAAATCAACTCCCAGGTGAGTGAATTTGTTCAAAGGCCTGTTTTAAATATCCAAGGTTAACTGACAGAAAGGCAGACAGCAAAGATGAGAGGAAACTCATACCCAGACATTGATGGAGGATGTCTGGGACCTTGGGCTGTAGCTCAGAGATGGAACACTAGCTAGGCGTGTCATTTGTACTTTAAAACAGCCCGTGTGACCTGTACGTTATCTGTAGGGCCAAGTGACTCCTGACTCTCACAGACTTTTATATTTATCTCAGGCATTCTCAACAGCTATTGGTTCCCTGTAGCTCCTGATCTAGGAGCGGGGCTTTGTGAAATTTCCTCGTTCTGCCACATTAGCAGGTTAACTTGTTTCACCATTATTTAAGTCTTGTTCAGGCAATCACATTGTCAGGATTTTTATGTGTGTCTTACCCCTGTTGTGTCTGTAAGACACTATTTTTGCAACAGGCATTCTGGTCTTTTACACTGTTTCTGACCCTTGTTGCATGATTTTACCTGATCCTTCGATGTAGGGGTTATGTTGGAGATGTATTCTTGGGGTTGGGCAATCATAGGTAGTTGTTTGCATTTTGATGGATTGTGGATCTCTATAAAGGTTTCTTTCTCTTGAAAAATCAGATTCTTGGATGAGGTAAGACCCACATGCATCTGTAAGGATAAAAAAATGTCTCTGGATACAGTAAGGAACTATATTGATTAAGAAAAATGGCATTAGTAGGCTTCTCTCTATAGAGTCTTTGTGACTGCTGAAGTTATCCATTTCTTCTTAGTTTAACATTTGTGTTTCGGATGAGTGTAGACATCTATCCACTTGTTTTAAGTTTTCTAAATTAATTCAGTACAGGTTTTTAAAGTATTTCCTTACAGTATTCCACATTTCTTTAATGTCTGTGTAATGTTACGCTGCACATTCCTGATTCTATTAATTTGGGCTATTTCCTTTCTTTAGGTTAATTGGGGCAAAGATTGTTCTTGATCTTATCTCCTTAAATAACTATCTCTTAGAATCAGATTCTTTGTATTTTTTTTATTTCTGCTCCACTAGTTTCTGTGCTGGTTTTTATTATTTCTACCTATCTGCTAATACAGAGTTTGGATTGATCTTTATTTTTTCTGAATCCTTGATTTAATATCATCGTGTCATTTATTTGTGTTCTTTCCTTCATTTTTAGCAGCACTCAGATGTTATCTCTCTCTCACTTTGAATGTCTTCCAGAAGCTTTTGTGCTGTGTTCTTATTTGCACTTAATTCCAAGATTTTTTTTTAATTCTTGAGTTCTTCTTTAATTCATTCATTATTTGGTAGTGTGCTGTTTAATTTTCATGAATTTATGTAATTTCTATAGATGCTTGTGCTGTTGATTTTAAGCTTTATTGTATTGTAGTCAGATAGGGTGCATTAGGTTATTTCAATTTTTCTGTATTGGGTCAGGTTTAGTGCCTCACTATGTCATCTATTATGGAGAAACTTCCATTCACACCTTCAAAGAATAAACATTTTTGGTGTTTTGGAATGTTCTATAAATATCTGTTAGGTACAAATGAAAAATTGATGTCATTTAGTTTGGATGATTCTGTCTTTTCTTTTTTTTTTTGACCATATACCCTATTGGAGAAATTAGGGTGCAGAAATCAACTATAACCACTGAGTTGGATTTCATCAGTGTCTTGAAATCTAGTGATATGCCTTTTATGAAAATGTGTGTTAGAGCTTGGTTCATACGTGTTTATAGTTGTAGTATCTTCTCAGTTAGTTGTTCCCTTTACAATGTGTCCTTCTTTATCTCATCTAATCAATTTTTGTTTAAAATCAGTTTGGTCAGATATCACAATAGTAATGCCTGCTTGTTTTCTGGCCTTTTGCTTTGAATAGTTTTCCAATATATGCACTCTGAGGTGGTGTCTATCATTGAATATATAATGAGTTTCTTGAAAACAACAAAAAGACTGATTTTGGTTTTTTTTAAGATTTATTCATTATGTATACAGCATTCTGCCTAGATGAGGGATGAGGGCATCATATCTCATTATAGATGGTTGTGAGCTACCATGTGGTTGCTGGGAGTTGAACTCAGGACCTTTGTAAGAACAGATAGTTCTCTTGACCTCTGAGCTATCTCTCCAGCCCCTGTGATTTTGTTTCTTAACCCATTCAACTCTCCTATGTCTTTTGATTGGAGAGTTGAGGCCATTGATATTTAATGTTATCACAAAAATGTGTGGGTTGATTGCTGCCATTTTACTTTTGGTACTACTTGTGCTTAATCCTATTTTATGTTTCAGTAACTATAGTTTCATTTGCTTGATTTCTGTGGCCGGTTGGCTTTGTTTATTCCTCTCTTCAGTCCAAAGCATTGTTTTTAGTATTCTTTGTAGAGCTGGTTTGATGGACATGAATTTTTTAGCCTGTTTATAGTCTTCCAGTTTTGTCAGTTTTAGAAACATCTTGAGTCTCATCAGTTCTTTATATCCAGAGCTTTATAAGTCTTGGATACATCCTGAGTCTTAGTAAGCCTCCTACCAGGTGGAATGTTTAAATTAAGATGAAATTTCTATACAACACCCTAATAATCATTTTTTTTTACCGGATGATCAATTAATGAGTTTGTGGTAGTAAAGTCACCCATTATTATTGTACCTGGACCTATCTATCCTTTGCTTAGTAGTGTTTCTCTTATGAAATGTGATGCATTGCCATGTTTACCCAGTATTTTTTTGGGGGGGGGTTATTCCTTTCACTAATAGATTGTGACTATTTAATTTCTTGTAACTAAATTTGGACTAGTCAATTTTATCATATATGAGTATTGATATTTCTATTTCTTCTCAGCTTGGATTTTTGTGATGTATCTCTTCCTAGCCTTTCAGTTTTGGGTGTGTGTGTGTGTGTGTGTGTGTGTGTGTTCTTTTTCATCTAATTGGCTAGCTTTGTCCCCTTTTTGACCATGAGATGTGTTTTATTTTTATCAATCATATCAATAATTTTCTATAATATCACAGGGCAAACCTATTACCCGGGAGGGTTCAAAATGCATCTGTGGCTTCTGTCAGTCTATCTTAAGGGTGATCTTTTTTCCACATCATGAGGGCGGGTCTCAGAGATGATGGGGTGGTGTGGGAAAATCCTCCTAAGCTTCTAGGAAATTTCACTTTTCATGTACTGTTCAATTGTTTCTTTGGTTGGCAGAGTGTTTTTCTCATGCATCCCGGTTTTCTTCAGCTTGGCCTTATTGAAGCTGGCAATTTCCCCCAATGGCCGTCCTGTCTGCTATTTTCTTACAACTCAAGTCTCATTCTGAGCTGGTGCTACAGGTTCTCCCACTCACATTGCTTCAGCAAGAGACCTACCCTGTGTGTCATAATAAAAGTGTTGAAATCATTTATACATAGGATTACTGTTGATAATTATGTGTTTATTTCTATGACTTTATAGGACGTTCTGGTTGGTTCAGATACTATTTATCTTTTATAAACTATCACATCTGTTGCTGATTTTCTCAGTCTTGTTCTGAATTGGTAGCATTCATATTTTCATCTGCTTGTTTAAATCCTCTTTGAGGTCACTAGTCATTTTTGAAACTAGACTACTGGATTTTTTGTCCAACATTATGACAACTGTGTATCCTAGGATTCAGTTAGTGAAGAGCTATACACTTTTGTACATGTCATGCTTCCCTGTTTGGTCATGTTTCCTGTATTTCTTTTTTTTAATTATGTTATTTATTTACTTTATATCCTGTTCACAGCATCCCCTCTCTTCTCTCCTCCAGTCCCTCCTCACCTCATCTCACCCCTCCTCCCTTCCTCTCAGAAAAAGGAAGGCCTCCCATTGATATCAACCAGCTTTAGCATATCAAGTTACAGCAAGACTAGGCACATCTTCTGTGAAGGTTGAACAGATGAGGCAGCCCAGAAAGGGGAAAGTGATCCAGACAAACTGCCATAACAGCAGAAAACCTGTTAAATGAAGTAAAGTATACTACTAAGCCAACAATAATTGTAACAATGAAAATTGGGGTGTGGAGAAGTAAGCTGTGAGGCTGAAATTCAATTAAGAACAAAATAATGATTCTGGTGACTCTTATCTTTCACAGTTCAGAATAATGTGAATTATTATGATGATTGTTCTTGTTCACAGAACTATACAGTGGCAATTGCTAAACATCATTTCACTCTGGAAATGGATTTCACATTACTTACTGGCACTAAGTATCAAGCCACCAGTTTCAGGCCTGCTGGCAAAATGTAGCACTGAGCTATGTCCATGCCTGTGGTTGCTATTTTAATAATAGAAAGTAATTATCAAATACTAATGGCATGCAAGTTAAGTGCTCCATTTGTTATAATTGTGAGTTTACTTAGTACCCCTTAATAGATATCACTTAATACTCAATGGATAATCGCTATTTTTATAAATGACTAAGCCAAGGCAGCATTGTGACTGGTCACCATCATGGCACACAGCAGCACAGCCTTTGACCTGAGTGCCATGCTTATAACCAGAACACCATGCACTGAGCGCTCATTTTTCTGAAAGAAGTCCTCATGTGTGGGTTTGAGTAGACCATGAATCTGAGCAGTGTGCCATGTTACCTTGCTTATCTCACATATCAGCTAGACAACAATGGGTGCACCACACAAGAAGCGAACATCACTGAGCTCCAGTTAAACAGAAGCTATTACAGAGTCCAGCTCCTTCGTGTGAATGCAACTGTTACAGAAGAAGGGACAGGTATGTGAGTGACCTAAGAATATAGAAGTTGAAGCTGTTAAAACTGACACCTTCTCCCATTGAGATGATGGTTCAAAAATGCAGAAAGCAAGCAACTCTCTAACTGGCTTGGGCTTTCAATGTTGTCACTAATTTCTTCTTCAGGATTGGAGTTCAATGGATCTGGAACAACTAAAATTGAAAGAACCACAAGCAAGCTCATATTTCTGAAAGCAGATTCACACTTCAGACATGGGATTCCATTCTTTGTGAAAGTAAGGTGCTTATTGGTTTATAGATTGTTAAGCTGTAAGGTGATACCTCAACCGAGGCCATTATGCTCAATGTTAAACCTGTCTGACATCATTGGTTGCAACTCAAGAAATGCAGCTTAGTGGTGGAGTTTGTACATCACATGCCCAAGCACTTGAGTTTAAATTCCAGAGCTAAACTAAAGACTTATAAAGATTATCAAGAGGTTCCAAATCTAAAACATATCCTGCAAGTTTTTATTGATAACTACTGATCCTCAAAATCTTAAAGGCCAAAGTGTCCCTGTGCTTCAATGGTGAAGCACGCTCTCCATTAGCCTGTGCACCCTCACAAGTTGTACTTATGATTGTGTCAGAGCATCTTTTCCCTGTAGTTTATACAATAGATTCATTGACAGTTTCTTATGAAAAATAGGAGAACAGAAAGCATCTATAAAGCATCTGTTATGAAGTTAAGAATATGATACCTTCAGTCCCTTCAGCCCTACTTTCACAGCACAGCTAGGTCTGCTGGTATAGATTTTTGAAAAACAGTTTTTGCATGCTGAATTAGTTGATTCAGCTTTGGAATCTTTATATAATACTGAAACAGGGTTTTCTCTTATATTCTGTGTCGTTTTCATGCCTAGACTATACTTTTCTTGTTCAATTTAGGTCCACCTAGTGGATATCAAAGGAGCTCCTATCCCAAATAAGCAAGTCTTCATCAAAGCTCAAGAAATTAGCTACACAGATGCTACCACCACTGATCAGCATGGCCTGGCAAAGTTCTCCATAGACACCAGCGGCATCTCAGGCTATTCCCTCAATATCAGAGTAAGTCAGAAATGAGGAGGGAACAAGGCACAAGGTGAGGCTTTGCAACAGTGTGAACTCAACAATTTGTAGCTTAATGAAAAAATATTCCATGCCAAACTCTCTTACTTTAGGGAAAAACACAAAAAGTTTCTGACCATTGATAAAAGTATGATCATACGTTGTGAACACATTTTTAACACAATATTTTTTCATAGCCTCTTTTACTTTATTTATGTTTTAAATATCTCAAGTTAGGACTTTCAAGTAAAGAAAAAATGATTAAAAGTCGATTTTTATCTATTTAGTCAAGGATACATGCTGTGTATCCTCAAATTCATTACCTCTGTGTGATACCAACATCTTCATGCTTTGTCTCTTAACTGGGTTCCAGAAGCCTTGAAAGATGTGGCCATAATTCTTTAGTTTTTCTTTACTACTCATTAGGTATAATAATAATTTTTCATTATCAGTAATCAATGACATTTTTCTTTCACTGTATCTAATCTATTAGTGAATCTTCCCACTTGGGTTTTTATTTAGCTTATTGACCTGTTTATTTCTCAGATTTCCATTTTTTAAAATTTCGTAAGAATTTTTGTTTGCTGATTTCTTGGGTAAAATCTATAATCTCTTCTTTACTCCATTTGGCTGTGTGTGTGTGTGTGTGTGTGTGTGTGTGTGTGTGTCTGTGTGTGTGTGTGTGTGTGCGCACGCGCGCACGCACGCGCACGCGCATGTGTGAGTGTCCAATTTTGTCATTAATAATTTTTAAAATTAGACTTGTAAACTTTATATAATATTTCATGTACTTCAATAGCTTTGAGTTCAGTTATTTAGAAAATTAGAGCTTTGGGTAAGACATATTGTTTCTTCATATTTCTTCTATTTTGATGTTATAATTTATACATCTGTAGTGTATGGCTATAAAACATCCACTATTATAAGCATATTTTATAAGAGTAGCTCTCTTTAAAGGCAAACCCCAGAAATATGGAGGACATTTGAATAAATTCATCAACACCAAAGCAAATCAGATGTTTAATTTAACAACAATGAAAAACAGCCACTGTTCCCCCAATTCTAATGACTAGAGAGTGGAAAATTCAATGTAAGTTAAACAGTTAAATTCAAAAAATAGAGGTAAACTTTATTACTCAAGTAGAAGTAAGAGGAGTCTGAGGAAAAAGAAAAAAGAATTTACACAGTCTACAGGGAATAAAATTCTACACTAAATAATCAGATAGCTATCAAGTAAATAATGAAGTGTTTATAAAAAGATAAAGAGAAAGAGACTATATTCTATGGGTGTGTGGTGAGGTATAGGGGAAGGGGATGTCTCAGCAGGCCCATGCTGAGACATCCCTTCCCCTGAGGGACCTGCCACATAATGGTATAGATAGAATAGAGTTTAATTAGATCATGGGGAGGGGAGTTAAGAGGGTAGTAGAGTCAGAGAGAGGCAGAGAGAGAGAGAGAGAGAGAGAGAGAGAGAGAGAGAGAGAGAGAGTATAGAGAAGAAGAGGCCAGCCATGAGCACATGAAGAGAGGGGAACTGAAGGGGAGAGAGCAAGAGAGAGAGGAGGGGGCAAGCAGTCCCTTTTATAGTGGGCCAGGCCTATCTGGCTGTTGTCAGGTAACAGTCAGGGTGAAGGTTAGACAAAATGCTAACATTCCCCTGTTTTGGTTTAATTAAAAATAAAAATTAGAAAGAGGTGATGGTGAAGCAGGAATAGGGTCGTCGTGGTATCTGGTTACCTCCTGCTGACATTGGGGCGACATGTCTCTAGGGAACCTAGAAGAATGGGTATGGGGGATGTTTGTCCAGTCTTGGGAGAGTTGGCTGTTTCCTGCTGTCCAGGGTCTGTGATACCATCTGAGAATAGGTCAGAAGGAACAGGTCCAGTAGAACTAACTGTCTGTGTCTGTGACAGGAGATTTGGAAATTGCTTCTCTGGAGCTGTTCTGGATATGTCTAGACTTGACAAGATGTAGGGAACAAGATTAAGTATGTTTGGGAAAAAGAAAATTTTTTCTAATATGTACATTTGAAACCCAGAGGGTCCCCACCTTTTGGAATAAGTAGTAAGTGGTAACTTCAAGCAGATGTGCTTATCTGGATAGAGTCTATTTGGTCCATGAGAGGTAGATCTGAGTGGGTTTCCTGTAGCTTATAAGTTTACAAAACAGATAACAGCATGAGTTAACAATATGAGCAGTCTTTAAGATGAACCTTTGCTGGATCGTATAGCGGAATGTTTTATTAGAGTTAGGCAAGTTTATAGGAACTCAGATAATAGGACAGTGGCATAGCAAGAAGAGGAAATATGAAGGGTTTACTTGACAAAAACTGAGTTTGGGTAATGAGGTAACATTACATCTGTGAAAGTTTAGCTGTCAATGTAGTTAGAAGTCTGAGAAAGAATGGACAACAATCTACCAGTTATATATTATTTTTAAAAATGACAGAGTCCACTAGCCAACAGTTCACATGGTCTCCATAGTTTCTTGGGTGGAATCAGTCTGGCTTTCAAGCACAGAAGACGCAGAGCTTTCTCTCTGTGGGATGGATAAGAGTGACATGAGAAATGACTTACCTTGGTTTATCCAAGTCCTTTGACTCAGGGCATCCAGTTTTTTCCACTGTGTTTTTCAGTGATCACCATCCGGGCAGTATCTTCTTGGTATGTTCACATCTTCTGAGACCATCTTGGGTCAACTGTTAGAGACTTTGGGAATTCTGTCATAATCTTAAATATATTATTGGCAGACTTTTGACAAGATTGAGGGCCATATCGATTGATTACAACTGCATAATTTAATGCTAGTAGTAGAAATCTATCAAGACAGGATATGAAAGAAGATCTTAAGTAGCTAGCTAAGTAGTAGATACTTAGTATCTTAAGTAGTACTTAAGTAGTACTTAATCTTAAGTAGGTTGTGTAGGTAGAGAAAAGCACATTTTTGTATTAGCAAAGAAACATTTGTCTAGAACCAAAATAAGAAAGCTGGCAGCAGTGGCATAAAATATGGTGACAGAAAATGAGTTTGTCCAGACAGGTTCAGGCCTGTGACACAAACTGAGCACACATCCAGACTGTGGGAACAGGCCAGGGTTGGGAACATGGATAGGTAAGAGCTTGGGAAACCTTTTCCATTCATCAGACCTCTGGCAGTGTTGTGAAGATCTGTTAAAATATATGTCCGAAGACATCACAGCACTCATTGGGGCATTATTGAATTATTCATACCAGTGTCCTGAGGATAATTCAATGACCAAAATTTCCAGCCAGGCTAGAGGCCTAAGTCATCACTAAGGACCCCTAAAGGCTATACACAGTAAGTCCCAACTTAGCAGAAAGTGTTCCTACCCTAGGTCCAGGGCTTTAAAAGGCTGCAAGAGCCAAGAGTGGGGGAGGTGCAAGAGCCATTTTCGCGGGGTGTCGTCACACAAGGATCTGGATGGCCATTGAAATGTGTGTGCTTGTGGGTGGTTTTGTTAGAGGCTGGGTGACAGCAGACTCTGTGGTGGAAGTCTATGAGTCCCACACCAGCCCTTGGGTGGTGGTGGTTCTGTGTGGCAGGGCCTTGACATCAGCAGCTGTAGCTGCGCAGTGGCCCTCGGATTGCTCCCCCACTGCACCTGCCATGATGTGGGCAGCATGTTGCGGGCTCGGTGGCTGTAGCTCCACGGCAAAATTGGCGGGTTGGAGCTGTGGGCGACAGGTCATGGTTCCAGGGTTGTGCTATGGGCCCTGAGCTGAGGCAGAGGTGCTGAGGTCAGTCCACACTGCTGCAGGGCAGGACTTCCTACTAGCAGCCAGAAATCGATGCCCAGTGCCTCCTGGCGAAGTCCAAGGTGTGCAGGGGAAAGGAAGCATGATTTGTATCACAGCAACGTGCATGCTAGCTATTCTTATGGAGGACAGCACGACTAGCACTCACTTAACAGGTCCAGAGAGGGGGAGAGAGAGTGCCTCCCTCGAAAGCCTTTCCAACAGGTGATTGCACACCATGGGAAAGCAAGTCGCAGACAGGACACAAGGAGCAGGGCCCAACCAGAAGCAGAGCTAAGGAACAGAGTGGGGAGGGGAGCAAGCAGGGTCTCAGGAAGGGGGCAGGGCTAAGCCCACTTTTCAGGCAGCAGGCTGCGTATGAGGAAGAGAGTGGGGGTGTAGAGAGATATTGTTCTCTGTTAACTATGATCTAGACCAAAACATCCCAGTAAGTAGAGATCAGACAGCGAAAAGACTGACCCCTGGGCAAGACACATGGGGACTGAGGACTAAGACTTGGAGTCAGTGCTCCTGAGAGAGGAGTTTGCCCAGGCCTGGCTTGGAATTCTCAGCCAAGACAAAAAAGCTGTCTCAAAGGGAGAGGTTAATCTCACCCAGGGGAAGGAGTCCTAGAATAAGGGCCAATGAAAGACTGAATGTCTCTCATCCTAAAGGAAAACACAGGGGTAGTTCCAAGCTCAAGGACTGTCCCCTGGGACCATGAGGACATTTAGTCTGACCAGTGGGAGATTGGGGAGTCTTACCAGTTCTAGGAAGCATGAATCTCTTGTGGTAGCTGAGGTGGGTTGCAAATCTGCAGATTGTCTACATCTGAGTGATGACACCAATGATGTGTTTATTAAAAGATAAAAAGAAAGACAATATGTTCTGTGAGTGTGTGGTGTAGTATGGGGAGAAGGAGATGTCTCAGTGGGCCCATGGGAAGGCATCCCTTCTCCCTGAGGGACCAGTCCCAAGATGGCATAGTATAGAATAGAATTTATTTAGGGCATGGAGAGGGGAGGTAAGAGGGTAGTAGAGGCACAGAGGTGGAGAGATAGAGAAAAAGAGAGAAAGACAGACAGAGAGAGAGAGACAGAGAGTAGAGAAATAGAGGCTACCCATAATAAAAAAAAAAATAGAGGCTACTCATAAACCTAACCCATGACCATGTGGAGAGAAGGGGAAGGGAAGGGGAGAGAGCAAGAGAGGAGGAGGGAGCCAGGACTACCTGGCTGTTGCCAGGTAACTGTAGGGAGGAGCATACCTGGCTGTTGCCACATAACTGTGTGGGTGGAATTTACACAGAATGCTAACAAATAATGTACCTTATGCTGTACTTCAAAGTGTTAACACCACTAGAACAGGAAAACTACAAAATTAATGAAAGGAAGAAAATAATAAATATGGCTGAAAGTAATGATGGGGACCAAAGGGAACAGTAAAAAGGTCCAGTGAAACCAACAATGATTCTGAAATCACCTAGATAAGTGAATTTGATTAGCCCTCATCTAAACCCAATGAGAGTTAAAACCCAAATTAGCAAAGTAGAGTTAACTATTACAGTACATACTATGAAATCCATAGGGTTCTTAGAGAATAATCTGAAAACCTTCGTTCCAATAAATTAAAAACATCCAGAAGAAACAAATGAATTGCTGGATATTAATATTCTACCAAAAGTGAGCCAGAAGGATATAAAAAACCTAAACAGATAAGCAATGAGAAATAAGATTGAAGAAATAATTAAAGGAACACAGCACAAAAGATCTGAGACTGGGAAGAACTCATTGCTGAATTGAACCAAACTTCACTAAAGAAATATTATTGTGACTTCAGGTCTGGGCCCAAGCATAGAGCAGGTCACAGGCAGCAGCTCTGTACCCAACTCCAGAAAACCGAGAGAAAGAGGGACTCCCAGGAGCTTTAACTCAGGCAGCATCCCAGGTAAAACTGAATCACCCATGAAGTCTGCTGTTAGAAGTTCTAATCCAGATGCTGGCCTCCAAACTTATACTACTCAGACCTTTGAAGGGCCACTGACAAGAACATCAAACAGCTAGAGATTGACATCACTAATCTGAAGAAATCCCTCGTTTCACTGTCTGAAGAGACCTCCTAAAATCGCAAAGATCCTTATTGGACTTGATTTACTCTATTATAATAGAAAAGGCTGTGTACAGCTCTTGATTGTGTACAGCCCTTAAAGAAGAAGGTTGCCTTTACATAGACAAGACAAGGAGGGTTAAAGATAACATGAAATAGGTCAGTGAAGGCCCTAAGAAAAATCAGAGAGAGAAAGAGACAGATGAATGCTGGTACATGAATTGGTTTTCAGCCTCTCCAAGGTTGTCAACTCTATTTCCTCCCATCTTGGGGCCATTATTTGGGTTCTTTTTGCTTTTTTCTGCTGGTCCCTGGCCCTCAAATAGGCGGACTAACTCTGTGATACAGCAGATAAATAATTTGGTAGCAAAACCTACTCAGATACATTATCATAAGTTAGCTATGGAGGACCATGAGACTCAAGATGAGGTTGTTACCTTATACAGGGTGTTTCCAAAACCCAACTCCACCCAACCTAAAAGGGGGGACTTCTGCCCCTAGACTAAGCAGAGAGGGGCCACCCAGAACCCCATCTGAATCTGACAGGCGATCTGAATTCTTGCTTAGGCTGTGAGGCTAAGCACTGCAAGGGAATATAAATAAAAGATAAAAATATCTATCTGAGTTCCCTGAGGGACAAGCCTGACTGCATAGGGGTTGATGTCAAAAGTATCCCCTCTCCAGGAAAAAGACATTGGGACGGGTATGACCCTCATGTCTCACTGGACAACGACAGGGGGACTGGAGCCATTACAAGGTCCCCTTCAAATACTGGAGGTTAGGCCTCTATCCCCCGCCTTCGCAAGTTTAGAATTGCCACAGCCCTTCTGTACTTAGAGAAGGGAGGAGATGTCAGGGGCAGTCCTGCTTACCCACTGTAGGCCTAAAATCAGCCATAGGCCTAAAATCAGGAATAGGCCTGTCATACATGTATACTAACACCAAGTCTTGGGTCTCTGTGGAAAAACATTGAAACAGATGGCTATAAGGTAATGTAGACAGGCAGCTTTTGTGGAAATTTACAAGCCTGAGTAGTCATAGACCTTGTAAATAGGTAGCCTTTGTGGATAATACTAACTTAGATAAGGACAAATGAATCATAGACAGAGTCATAGTGACCTGTCCCCTGAACCTTCACCCAGCCGATACCCGGTTCTGAATGATATCTGTATTCCCCCTGAACACCCACACTCCAGTGTCATTCCCTTCCCCACATCCTGCCTTTCTGTGTTTATAACCCCTGTGTGAATGAACTACGATTTGAGAAAAAATAAATTATATAAAAATAAAAAATAAATAAATAAATAAAAGAAATATTATTGTATAAAGATTCAAAAGAAGAAATGCCTCCAAAGCCATTCTATGAATCTAGAATAGCTGTGAGACAAAAACTAGAAGAGGATGCAGTGACAAGAAATCGTCAGACTAATTAATAAAGGAAAGTCTGAGTTCAAATTCCTCCATGTCAAATTCAACCACACATTAAGCAAATCATGTACCATGATCAAACTGATTTCATAATAAAATGACATGGATGGTTTCACATTTGTAAGCTGACAACTGTAAATGGCATATAAATAGAATCAAGAGTTAAAATGACATGATCATCTCAGTAGATCCAACAAATAGTCTATTTTTAAGACCTTAATGACAAGTCGTCATGAAACGCATGCAAAGATGCTCAGGACATGTGACTCTCAATAAAATGCAGACTAACACTATGCTGAAAGTTCATCTCACCCATCAAAATGGCTATCATCAGGAAAGCAAATGTTGGCAATGTTATAGGAACAAAGGAACCTATAGGCACAACTGGTGCAAAGGTAAATTAGTATGACCATTAAGCTCAGAGCTTCTACAAAATTCCAAAGGGAAGTCAGTATAAGGTACAGGTATCCCTTGGCCATATATATGCACATAAAAATTAAAGCTAACATTTGTTAGAGACATCTACATCCCATGGCTATCTCAGCAGTTCTCAGCACAGTTGGGCTATGGAGTCAACTTTAATGCCTATTGGTGGATGAGTGTTTACAGAGAATCTCTTGGGCAATATATGGAAGCATCACTTGTCAATAAAATGCTGTTGGACTATTAGCTTAGGCAGGAAATAAGGGGGTGGAAGTTCCAGTACAGGGAGAATGTCAGGGATAGAGTCAGGCATGGAAGATTCACCCCAAACTGAGGAGAGGTAACCAACAGAAAAGAATGAACAGGGTAATTGAATTAGGGGCTAACAGGAGAAGCCAAAGCTTTTGGACTAGACAATTATTCATAATAATGCAGTCTCAGAGTCATTATTTCATGAACTTGGGCACAAGTGGGAAAGCCCACCATTACATGAGTGGATAGAGAAAATTGGAAATATGTGTATATTGGATTTTACTCAAATATTTATCAGAGAGTCTTCTTGTCTACAGAGAAATGAATGTATTTAGAAATTGTTGATATAAAGAAGTATAAGACTAGGAGAAATTATCCCCCATATGTCCCCGATATGTCCCCCTTGTGTACCCTCTTTGTGCCCCACATGTGGAATCTAGTGAAAGAACAGGAATGAAAGCAGAGAGGGTCTATTAAGGAGGAAGGGAACCGGAGGGAAACGTAGGATTGGATACTAGGATGAATGAGCACTCTCAGAGTACGTTACATTAATATATGAAATGTTTCAAAATAACGAACCCATTATTTTGCACATTCATAATGCACTAAAATTCATATATGTAAAATGTTTTCATTATGTATTAGATGCACAATAAATGTTTCCTTTGTCTCATAAAACTAATACACTTCCCTTTTCTCTCGTCCCTGGTGTAAATATTTGCCTCAATTCTAAAAATTCAGGATGTTAGACATCAATCCATTTAATAAAATTCCCTTCCACTTTGAAAAAAAGATGTACATAATATTCAAACATTAACTGACAAAGAAAAATATGTTGATTGATCACAGAATGGAGATTCTGCCTGCTAGGCAATCTACAGCACAGTTCGTCTCGCCAGCAAGAACACACGCGGACACACATCAGGATCCTTCCCCAGGAAAACGTTTATTCCAAAAACAAAATGGTGGAAGACCTCAAGCCTGGAAAAGGCACGGTTTATATACCCTTAGAGCAGCGTATTCACCTCTGATTGGCTGCTTCCGTAGCCCGCCAAAACACCCTGGGATGGGCTATGACTTTTGGCGCGCTTTTACCATGGCACATGCGCAGTTTACTTGTTTACTAGGAAGAATCCCGGACGCCAGCGCAATGGCGGATTCTGCCAGCCCACGCACGGCTTCTTACAGTACTTTGTTGTTTTTCCAGGTCTACAACATGGAACAAAATTCATGCTCCCATTCCATTTGCATAGAAGAAACACATGCAGAGGCACACCATGTGGCCTATGCTGTTTACTCCCTCAGCAGGAGCTACATCTACCTTGAGACAGAGTCCAGCAGCATCTTGCCCTGCAACCAGATTCACACAGTTCAGGCACATTTTATTCTGAAGGGGAAGAACTTGGGAGTGCTGACAGAGCTCCTTTTCCACTACCTGGTAAGTTCTGGCTCCAAATTGAAGGAAGAAAAAAAAAAAGTTCTCCTCTCCTGACCATGTCTCTCCTGACACATTGAGTTCTAGGCTGGGGATTTCTGCCTGGAATACAATAGATTCTTCTATGTCTTCTAGCACAATTAGAAGAAAGCCTTGTAAAATATAGATGTAAGCTTGGAAAATACTTTCCATTTTAGGTCATGGCCCAGGGCAGCATCATCCAGACTGGAAACCACACTCATCACGTGGAGCCAGGAGAATGTAAGTGTCTCCCACACAGTAACATTTCTCCAACTGAGAGTCCACATACTCACCAAGGGAATCTTACCACTGAGCAGCTAACAGTGCCCCCATCATGCTTGTGTGTCTCCATAGACACTCTCCACAGTAGGAACTCATGGCTCTGCTGTCCAATGTATGCTCTCACTCATGACCTTCAGGAAAAAGTCTCAGAGTCCCAAACCGAGTATCATTCAACATGGAGAAATATGTGTTGTGAATATGTACCCCCTGAATACACACAGTACTCCAAGATACATTCTACATGAGGAACCTATGCATTCACATGCAGATTAACCCCAAGGAAAATGAGTTATTTTAGTGTCTATTCAAAAAAAACTGGAGGGTGCCAGCCTTGGTCCTTACCATTCTAGCTACACTGATTTTCATGTATTTGATTCATTTTTATTATTTTCAAATAGTGTGTGAGGTGCATGTGGGTAACTATGTGCATGTCACTACAAGTACTCTAATAGCCAGAGGCATCAGATCTCCTGGATATCCTGCAGCCAGAATTACAGAGTTCTGAGCACCCTGGTGTAGATGCTGGGAATCAAACCTGGGTCTTCTGGAAGAGAATCAAGTGATCTTTACTTCTGAACTATCTCTCCTTTCCTTTATTTTTACTTTTAAAGACATTTTATTTATTCTTTGAAAGTTACATATATTTATACAATGTATTTTAATCATACCCTCTCCCAACTAATCCCTCTACCCCAATTCCTCCCTACCTACTTCACCAGGCCCTTTCCCTACGTTATGTCTTTTTTTTCTTTAACCTGTTGAGTTCAGTTAGTGCTACTCATACATGATGAGGTATTGGGCCAGCCCCTGAAACATGGACAATCTACCAGGGACTTCACCACTGATGAGATCTGACTCTTCCTCCCCTCAGCAGCCATCTACTGTCAATAGCTCCTCAGCTAAGAGTGGGTCTTCACAAACCCCTCCCCTTCCATACTGGAATATTGATTGGCTTGTTGTTGGTAAGATCTTGGGCAGGGACCCATAGCTGCTATGACTTTGTGAGTGATGTCATCCTGTCATCTCCTGGTGATACTTGCTCAGTTCTAACAAAATGTGACTCATCTGTCACTCCCTGAATAGGGCCTCTTGCACCCGCTTCTATTAAGATCCCAAGTTATCACTGAATCCTGGTAATATCGATGCTCTGTTTTTGCCATCCTTTCCTTCCCAAAGTGCACCTACCACATGCAAACACATGTTCTATACTTTACCTTTTATTATTCATTTCTCTCTATGGCCATATCAACTACATGGAGCACAGTTGAAACCGTATATTATTTACAGAAGTCTCACTCATGTTAGAGACAGTAAAACTCTTCTTTATATTGAATTAAAAACAGGACTTATTAGGAATAATTATGTCATTACTCTAATAGCTTAAAAAGTATTATTGCCGCTGGCTAATAGCATGTTTTAGATGTAAACCTGCTTGCTCCATACAGTCACAGATATCTTTCAAGTAATTTCTAGAAGTGGTAAATAGTCAGTGAATGCTCAACAAATTTACTGAAAAGGAGTTTTCTTACTACTGATCAATTATGAAAATTATTTAGTTATTTATTGAAATATACAATTAGTTCTTTAGCAGATAATAAGTGGGAATCATAGCACTCAACTTGAGAAGGCTAACGAATCCCCTCAGGTTCAACAGAAACAATGAGAGATTTTGAAATTACATAATTTTTTTCTCAAGAGATGTAAATACTGTGAACATTGCATTGAGAAAAAGTTTAATACCAAAAATATGCTTATTACTGCCAAATGTGGCTTGGTCCTCTGAGATAATTATTAATTTTAAGCTTCCCGAGTACCAGGCTTTCCTCTCTGTTAGTCTTCCTTTTACCTGAATAATAAGTGAGACATGAGCCACAGTTGTCTCATCCCTTTTTATAACAGGAATATCTAACATGCTGTTTGGGAAGCTAAGGAATAAAAGAGATAAGAGGTTAGCATATGTCTAGCTGTAAATAACCAAGATAACTTTTGACAGTGAACATCTTGGTGGAAGACATCTTTGTGATATCCTCCTGAGATCATTAGCATGCAAACAACCAACTGCAGGACAGGAAGACTGTCTTATACAAACTGACAGTCCTCCAAATCCCTGTGTTCAGTTATTTGGGTTTTCCTGTCAGTAGTCTGACCCATAACCGTCATTTCCCATTCCCTCCAGCTGCAGTAAAAGGCAGCTTTGCCTTGGAGATCCCTGTGGAGTTCAGCATGGTCCCCATGGCTAAAATGCTCATCTACACCATCCTGCCTGATGGAGAAGTGATTGCAGATTCTGCAGCATTTGAAGTTGAAAAGTGTCTTCGCAACAAAGTGAGGGATTTGTTACCTAAGATTTCTATTTAAAAGGGGGAGGGGAGTCTTAAGGACACAGATTTTTATGCTAAACCCAGTCACTGGTGTGTGCCTCAGTGGCAAAGATGTGGACAGTACCAGTGTGCCAGATTTCATTTCACAAACTCCACACATGATCAGAGGTTTAAGAGAGAGGAAGCAAGGAAGTGGAGAGCAAGAACTGAATCCTTAATAACTAATTTAAAGTTGTATAACTTACATTTTCATTGTATTTATCTGTGTGTGCACATGTGCATCTGAATGTACACATGTGGAGGAAAGAGAACAAGTTTTAGAAGTCTATGCTGTCCTTCCTCATGAGTCTGAGTGGTCAAGCTCAGCTCAACAGGCTTCTCAGCAGGCACCTTTACCCATTGAGCTATCTCAAAGACCCTTAATGTCATAGTCTTACATGAGACCAGTCATGGGATCCAGGCCTTTCAATTGTTAGTATAGTTTTTTCCCCTCCAGTTTTTCCTTATGACTTTTCTGTATGTGTGATAAGAACATAAGACCCTTGAATTTCATGACACAGCATATTGGATGTGTGCTGAAACATAGATCTTCAGTACCTATTCACATTAGGCAGTTGGAACTACGTCTGTTGGTGAGCATCTGTGCTTTCCTTACTCTAGAGTAGTTAATAACACTTTTGATCTGTTTTCATCAGCCCCTTTGAATACAACTCAGTCCATGGCAGTTTGCTTTAGTGTCTGAAATGAAATAGGAAGCACTGAGAGATGAAGGCGAATGATAGATGATCTGGTAGCCAGACAGAGGAACAAATGTAGACAGAGAGGCAGTATTCCAATTAGAATACTGATTTTTCCACCCCAGATATGAGATTAATCATGAAAAAGTCCTTTCAAATAAGTAACTTTGTTGGGTGGTTATAACGTGAGCCTTTAATTCCAGCACTCGGAGGAAGGCAGGTTTCAGAGTTCAAGGCCGGCTTGGTCTACAGAGTGAGTTCCAGGACAGTCAGGGCTACACAAAGAAACATTGTCTCAAAAACCTCACCAGACAGACAGACACACACACACACACACACACACACTCACACATACTCACACATAGACAGAGACACATAAATAGACACAGAGAGAGACAGAGGCAGAGTCAGAAAGACAGAGAGACAGAGATGGAGAGAGAGGGAGGGAGAGATGGGGAGGGTAGAGGGAAAAGAAGGGGAGATGGAGAGAGAGGGAGGAAGTATAGCTTTAGGACTAAAATGCTGACTCAGGAGGTAATAGCACTGCACTGAATTCTGATTCCAGCACACATATAAAAGCCAGGCAGACCACAGGGTACTATAACCCCTGAAGGCTAGAGGCAGGAGAATGGCTGGGACTTGCTGCTGCCAGTTTAGCTCCAGGATTATGAGGGGCATTCTCAAAAGAATAAGTGAGAGAGTGGGAGCAAGACACCACACCCTCCTCTGGCCTCTGCTGGGTGCATGGGTACATACACCTGAACACGCATGTGCATGACAACACAGTCACATATATGTCCACACACACCAAAGATGAGCTGTCTGCAAGAACTTCAGGGAATCGAAATAGTCCTTTGTTGCTTTGGAGTTCGAGTGACACGTTTCCTGTCTTCTTAAATCAATTCCAGGGTAGAAAAGGGTATCAACGAACTTCAGTTGTGTTTCTGACTGTATTCATAATCTGGAAAAACAGATGTGTGCAGAGTTCCAGGGTGACTCCTAGTGTCAGGTTTCAGATCTGCAATAGCAGGAACCCCACTCCCACCCAACCCCCACTCCCGCTAAGCTTGATTTTCCTTCTCTCAGGTGGACCTGAGCTTCAGCTCATCTCAAAGTCTTCCTGGCTCACAAACCCGTCTGAGGGTCACAGCTTCTCCTCAGTCCCTCTGTGGCCTGAGAGCTGTGGACCAAAGCGTGCTGCTCCTGAAACCCGAGGCTGAGCTCTCCCCTTCCTGGGTGAGTCCCTTCAGCCTCTGTCCAAGACAGGTCAGCAGAGACCGGAAGTGACCCTGGTCCTGATGAAACAGTCATTGTTCACCCACTTGGGCTCTTGAGTGTACAAATAGTCCATTTAATGCTGGCAGCGTCTCTAAGGGAGCATTTCATTATAATATCCTGAAGAACGGATCAGAAAACTTTAGCGAATAAACTGAAGACAAAGAAGGAAATAAGGCGCTCTGTGAGTTGCAAACCCTCTGTGCTCTCACTGAACATGTGCTGCCCCAGGAGTGTCTTGTCCCCTTCAGATGCTCATGATTGAGCGTTTCAGAGTCACACTGCATGTGGGAGCCAAAGGAAACCGTTTATACAAAGAGAATCTTTCACATCTCAAGAGTTCCCCAAATAAGAAAAAAAAGGATAGAATGATTTAAAATTTTAAAAGGCAAGGTTGTCAACTTGTTTTGAAAATGCTCAGAAGCACAAATGAAACAATTCACTATTTACAGGAGTCTTTCCCAAGATAATGCCAGTACAGCTCTTCTTTATATTGAATTAAAAGCAGGGCTGTTAATCCCAGCACTTGGGAGGCAGAGGCAGGCGGATTTCTGAGTTTGAGGCCAGCCTGGTCTACAGAGTGAGTTCCAGGACAGCCAGGGTTACACAGAGAAACCCTATCCCGAAAAACCAAAAAAAAAAAAAAAAAAAAAAAACCAAGCAGGGCTTATTTATATGATCACTCTAATAGTGTAAAATTATAGACACTGGCTAGTAGAATGCTTTAGTATGTACAGTAGATCTGTAAATTTAAAAACAGAAATCCTTAGTCTAAATAATGCTGGGAATTTACCAGTCTCAAAATGACATGTAAATTAAACCAATATTTAATTTAAGTTTAATTATGTGATGTTATCATGCACATGCAGAAAATGCTATGGAAAGTATCCTGCTAAAATATTTTTCTTTTTGATTTTTACTTTCCCCAAATCTATTAAACAAGAGATTTGTTGAGCAGTTGTTTTTAGCTGACAAATACAGGTGATTAGTTAAAAAACACAAGGGTATTTAATATGGGGGTGGAGTTCCATTGTTCCCCTCCACCCTACCCGCTCCATCCTCTTGGTGCCTGTACTTTTGATGAGGACAGCTATTCCTTAAACATTCAGGTATTTGTAGTGAACACAGTGATTATTGCTTTTTTGTGTGAATAACTTCCAAAAAAGAGGGCCCTGCTGGAGTCAACCAGTCAGTCAACTCCGGAACCACATTGTCAGCCAAAGCTAACTCAGGAAGTGCTTCCCACATGCCCCCTCATCCCCTGTCTCTTACAGGTTTACCATCTGCCAGGTATGCAGCACAAGAAATTCATCCCAAGTTCCGACCCGTCTGAAGACGAAGAAGACTGTGTGACTGGCAGCCAATATTATGAGCACACATACTCAGTACCATATGGGCAAGAGAAAGATGTCTACAGATATGTGACAGTAAGCCCTATTATCTATTGGCATGCTGCTCTGTGAATTATTTAGGTTTAATGAAACACTATATAGTAAAGAATTTCAGGCTTAGGCCAAGGATATTAAGAGTCACTGGCAGACCACCCACATTTACATGTGGTGTGGTTCATGGGTTAGATCCTGAGCATTCCAAAGTCTACATCCTGGAAAGTGGCCAGTCTAGACTATATTTTTCTCTCTATTGAGAAAACTGGCACAAAGTGGGGGATTGACTGTTTATTATTATTGTTGTTGTTGTTGTTGTTGTTAATGGTTTTTCAGACAGGCTCTCATTATGTAGTTCTGGTTGTCCTGGCTCTCACTCTGTAGACCAGGCTGGCCTCAAACTCACAGAGATCTGTCTGCCTCTGACTCTCAAGTGCCGGGATTATAGGTGTGTGTGCCACTATACATGGCTGTGAGTGTCTTCTCAAAATAACAGCATTGTATCAGAGAGAAGGCCTGCACATATGGCTCACTATAAATTCTATGTTCCTCACTGTACTCCCTAATGAGTATGAGACACACAATTTGAGTAGGAAATCTACTTCAACATGTAAAACTATATGTGAAGCATTTACTGCAATTTTTAAACACACTTTTTTCAGAATTTGGAGGTATTTCACTTGATTAATACTTTTTTTCTAGGATGTGGGTTTAACGGCATTCACTAACTTGAAGATCAAACATCCTACATTTTGTTATGACTATGACATGCTTCCAATGGCAGGTAAAATAACAAATCAGTATTTTCAGAGCAAAATAAATGTGAATTATTTATTGAAGCTAGTAAAATAAAATTGTAATGCATGTGTAGCATCCAAGTAAGAGAAAAAGAACCCAAGCTTAACAGAACAAAATGTGCCCAGGCGTATGCTGCTACTACAAGGCAGTTAAAGACTGGAGGTCCTTCCTTCAATGTTAAAATAAGAAAAAATGCAATAGTTATTGTGATACAAGATCATTGTGTGAAGTAGAAGAACTTCTGTAGATGTGTCATGAGAGGTGAAGAGAGTTCCCTAAACATTAGAGAGGAAAGAGACAGAAAATCCAGGCATTGCAAATAAAGGTGAGGACAGGAAGAAAAAAATGCACATACATTAAAGGATACATGCACACTCATATATTAACCAATGAACCATTTAATCTTTCCCTCTTTCTCTCATCTGAGTCCCTTTCAGAGTGACTGCACCATTTCCATCCCCACCAAGTGTGAATGAGGGCTCCCTTTCCCTGTATCTTCTCCAGCACTTGTTGTCAGTTGTTTTGTTGACTTTAGCCATCCTGACTAGGATGAGATGAAATCTGAGTTGTTTTAATTTGCATTTGCCTAATTGCTGGCATAATAAACAATGTTAGAAGATATGTCTTAATCTTTTAAAATTTCTTTTGAAACCACTTTTCAGATCCACATCCCATTTTTTAAGTTGGGCTGTTTGTTTTCTTGAGTCTTTGGTTTTTGAGTTCTTTATATATTCAGAGTATCTATCCTTTATCAGATGTACAGCTAGAAAGATTTTCTCCCACTCTCTGGGCTTCCATTTCATTCAATTGATTGATCCCTAATTATGCAAAAAGCGTTTCAGTTTTGTGAGGTCCCCATCTGTCAAGTATTTACCTTGATTTCTAAGTGAATGGGTGTCATTCAGAGTCTTTCTCTACACATGTATTTTGTAAGGTTGCTGCCTATGGTTCTTCCCCTAGAAGTTTTGGTTTTCATGTTGAGGTCCTTGATGCATTTGGAGTTGACTTTCGTGCAGTGTCATAGTTATAGGTCTACTTTCATTCTTCTACGTGTGAGCATGCAGTTTTCCCAGCACCATTTGTTGAAGATGCTGTCTTTCCTCTGGTGTATGTCTCGGTATCTATGTCAACTACCACATGCCTGTGATTACATGAATGTGTTTGGGTCTTGTACTTTGTTCCATTGAGCTACATGTCTATTTTTGTGACTTTACCATGATGGTCTTATTGCTATACCTCTGTAATATAACTTGAAATCAGGAAACACTATCTTTATCATTGTTTATATTCTAAATACTGAAATTTATTTTTTTATCTGTGTTAACATAAAATAAAACATCATTCTGACTGGAATATATTAATTTTCCTCATACTGATTTGAAAGGAAAATGAAATATCTTCACAAGTTTCTAAAAGCAACATGGCCTGAGGCACTGTGACTTCTCTAGACAATGGAATAATTGGGCAACTATCCCTGTAGCTGTTAAGGTAATGGGTGATGAACTTAAAACACTAGAAAACACTCGGTTCCTGAAGGCAAGTAGAAAGACTAAGATCAGGTTACAAGCTATCACAAGCTTCCCTGTGTGGCTATCACAGGGAAGGACCTACAGAAATGAAGCTCTGTGTGTGTCTATGAATTAACAAACCGGGAGAGATTATCTATGCTTAGAAGTCAGTTGGGAAATACTTAGGTGAAGCCCTAACTAAATCTACATGTGTACTTGTTCTTGAAAGTAAAGCAGAGTACAGACACTTCATTAGCAGCTTTAAATCCTACATTTCTTGCCAGTACAAACACAAGCCATTTCTATGATCCTTGGATAATAAACTTACTATTTCTAACACAAGAGTTTGTACTCATACATCTTTCCATTTTTATCCAAATTGAAACCTATCAAAATATTGGCATTAAAACTACAGACGTAAGAAAGAAAAAAACATTGCAAGAAATCTCTGCTGATAATGTACACATCATTCAGCTCTTGTCTTGTCTCACTGTAGCCACAAGACCTGCTACCTAGGATCCTATTGTGGATCTTCACTCCTCCTAGGGGACACATTATATCTGTAAGCATTCACTAACTCTCCAATATCCAACCCAAGAAAATATGTATCATGGTTCCTTCCAAATTCAACTACTCTAGGTGAGATTGCCCCTTTGACAAAGATGTTACCTAGTCTCCCCCAAAATTAGTGATTCAATCCATTATTTCCAGTGTAACCTTAATAAAAGTCAAGAAGAAACTGAAAATTAAGCTACATTTAATTGCACCATGGTGTCCCATTGTATTCAAGTACTATGTTCCTTTCTTCCTTTGTAACTTCATAGTACCTGTTTTGGAATCTGATGTTGTACGACTTCGAAGTGAAGTATCTACAAATTTCCACCCAGTATCAAATAGAAATCCACCACCTGAAGATCCACTTACTGAAACCATTCGGAAATATTTTCCAGAAACCTGGGTCTGGGATATAGTCACAGTAAAGTAAGTGATTTCCATTTGTACGATTTGGGCTGGGTACAAAATTTTTCTTTGTTTTCTTGGATTTCTCTAATTTTTATCATAAGCGAAGGAAATTGATCATATAGAAAACCATAGCATATCAACATATCAATTATAAAACACACCTATTACCATCACCCCCAGAAAAATGCCCATAAAAACTATCACGAAACTTTTTGATAGTTAAGGTGATTCAGGATCATCATATTGACAAAAAGATGAGACACACATGGAGCAGACTATGGGATGGCTATATAGAGTAGACCATATACGTCATAAAACTGTTGTATATTTTGAAGATGAGGATTCAGAGAAAACTTCACATCTAGTCAGATTTCCACTAACCTGTGAACTTTGAGATGTTTTGGGGCTATGACTTAAGTTGGTAAAACAAGATTAGAGAAAGGCATTTTCTTTTGCCATCTGGAGTCCCATTTACTCTGTTCCCTTCCTATCATTCCTTTCAAGGACTCAAAGGGATGGTGTCTTGTCACACACAGAGTTACCATCTCAGAGATAACAAATTCATGAGCTCACTTTCTGTCCTTTACACTCACTCTCCCAGCTCCTCTGGAATGGCTGAAGTGGAAATGACAGTCCCTGACACCATCACTGAATGGAAGGCCGGAGCCTTCTGCCTGTCCAGTGATACTGGCCTTGGCCTCTCCTCGGTGGCACCTCTCCAAGCCTTCCAGCCCTTCTTTGTGGAGCTCACAATGCCCTACTCTGTGATCCGTGGAGAAACCTTCATGCTCAAAGCCACTGTGATGAACTACCTCCCTACAAGCATGCGGGTGAACACCTTTCTGAATTAATCATGACCAGAGGGGAAGAGGACAATTAGTGTGTGTAAATTATAACTAAGACTTAAAGGAAAAGAAGAAAGAAAGTGGGGAAGAGATTGTATTGGAAAGGTCAGCAAAGTGGTTCCAAATGCTGAAACAATTCCCAGACTCTAGCTACATATATACAGCAAAGAGTTGTTTAACAATATGGACACTACATAAAATTAGGTGATGTTGCCAGTATTTAAACAGCACAAACTGTACTGACAGAAATAGAATATTTCATGTAGCCTCTGTATACAATCAAAGGACATGGTCCACAAATATAGGAGTTTATTGTCAGGATAAAATGACATATTGTTTTACAATGGATTTTGTTTTCGTTAGAGGTAGGTGTATACTTCAAAATAGTAGTTAAAAATCTAGTACAGTAAATGTACTTCTGCCATCAAAATAAAACAAATATAAGTAGGCACATATGTAATTATCTCCTTAATGGTTTGTGTAGATAATACATAAATGATAGCTAGATAAAGTTTAAGACATATATGTGTGGATGAAATCCATGCAAGCCTTCTGTGTCAACTTACATGACATTTTAGACATGTTTTCCGAACAATCTCCTTCACACTCTTTTATCTACCTCCTCCCATGTATAATACCTTGTCCTTCCACAGCAACATCTTTTTTTCTCTTTCTTTTTCCCTGTGGGGTCACAGATGGCTGTGCAGCTAGAAGCCTCTCCTGATTTCACAGCTGTCCCAGTAGGAAAAGACCAAGATTCTTACTGCCTTGATGCCAATGGGAGGCACATCTCATCCTGGTTGGTAACTCCCAAAACTTTAGGTGAGTGAAAATTTTGTAAGGGGGCTCTACCCAGAAAAGGTGAGTGTAGGAAGTTTCTTCAGTTACTTTCTTCTCACTGGGTCCCCAAGAGGAAGCTCACAGTCATTGCTGCTCCTGGTGTGTGCTTACCACCTTCCTAAATATAAGACAGGCTCTTGAACCACCCCTAGAACAGAGGATACCCTGCAGATCTTGGGGCTTGGTGGATGCCAGGTTCCTGGCAGATCTGAGCTCAGCTCTCTGGACCATTTGTTTCAGGGAATGTGAATTTCTCGGTGTCTGCAGAAGCACAACAGTCCCCAGAGCTCTGTGGTTCTGAGGCGGCCACAGTTCCTGAAACTGGGAGAAAGGACACAGTAGTCAAAGGCCTGATAGTTGAGGTGAGTAATCCTCCTCAGTCGGCTGTATGCTGAGTCCAGAAAATGGAGCAATGTTGACTATATTTGGATGAAAACTAAAAGATAATGACACACAATTTTGAGATAGATCATAGCTGGCGAGCCCATGCTTTAAACCCACATATGCTCTGTTCTCTTTTCCCTTCCTAGTCTTTACACTGAAGCTTTGGTGGCAGGAAGGATAATCTAAGACGGTTTATCTTCTCAAAGCTATACCTCTTTCTTCTGATTATGCCCCGCCCCTTTCTCTTCATTATCTTTCCCTAATGGTTTCTTTTTTACCGGGCATGCCCAAATTCTCACATGTTGAAGCCATTCCAGCCCGTGGACTCACAAGTAAAGCTGTCTCTCAAAAAAGAAAACAAAACAAAAAACTGCCTCCAAAAATTCTGTATTTGCACACTCGATGTTTGATTTCTCATGTTTGAATTTCCTATCTTTTTGTCCAAGCCTGAAGGAATCAAGAAAGAGCATGCCTTCAGCTCACTGCTCTGCGCATCAGGTGAGAACCTGTCAAAACACAGTGAGATAGTGACTTAAGTCACTTAAAAAGAGATCTTGCAATATTCTTATAAAAAAAAATCAGAATAGTGTATACCTTATAGCCCTAAAACATGAACAAAACGGAGTCTCATGAATATAGATCATCGTTTACCCGATGCAGCGCTCAAGAGTATCGTTCACTTAGGGCTTCACGGTTCACTGTAACCCCATTTGGTTTTAGAATTCAGAAGCCTCGGGCCTGGCGGTGGTGGTGCTCGCCTTTAATCCCAGCACTTGGGAGGCAGAGGCAGGTGGATTTCTGAGTTCGAGGCCAGCCTGGTCTACAGAGTGAGTTCCAGGACAACCAGGGCTACACAGAGAAACCCTGTCTCCAAAAAAAAAAAAGAATTCAGAAGCCTCTTCATCTCTGTACTTACAAAGTTATAGAAAAGGAAAGACTGAGAAGAGGTCACAATTGAGATTTTCTCTAAAAAGAGAAGATAGAGAGATAGAGACTGTCTTGGGAAGTACTATATCTGTTTTATGTTAGATCATAAATAGAAAACAAAGATTTATATGGCTGAAAAAGCTTCATACATGAGCCAAGCTAAATCATGGTATGTACTTAGCATAACATTTTTCTCTAGTGCTTCTTTTTATGTCTTGCTTTTTTATCCCTGCTCCTCACCGGAAGCTAAACATTAGATTGGAAATATAGCAACATATCACACAAGAGAAAGCTCACTGGACACTAGGACAGACAAGCATAAGGTCAGGGACTGTCCACTTACAATAATGAGCATTGCAGGCACCTCTGTTAGCAAGTGCTTGTAGTGTCTACTCAAAACGTATTTATCAAAAGAATAAAGAAATTAGAATAATAACTTTAATTTAATGTAGAATCCATTGTTATATGAAAGTTAACAAAAGAGATTAAATAAAGCAAATTTCTGTGTAAAGCAAGCAAACTAATGTAGCAGTTCCTAATATGGTGGGTGGAAGAAAATCATCATATAATACTAAAATCCTTTAAATATTTTCCATGAAAGAAAAAGCAGGAAGGGGCGGGGTGTGTAACTGGAGATAATTTTTTTTAAGCAAACATAAGATAACAAAAGCCCTATTATTCCCACTGGTCAGCTCTGCTTCCACTCATAGTTACTGATTACAATGTAATGTACCCACCATCCCTTCAGTAGGAAAGCGTCCATGACACCTGCATGGAAGAGATCAGAGAGCCTCCCAAGCAACTCAGGGAACAGGAAGAACAAACAACGGCTCAGGGTTTCTCCGTTCCCTTATTCTGACATGTGGGATGTTTACTCACACATTGCTTTGTTTTAGGGTTCCATCCTTGTGATAAAACACCATAACCAAAAGCAACTTGGAGAGTTGATCAGCTTACATGACAACAGTCCATCATGAAGTGAAGTCAGGGCAGGAATCTGGAAGCAGGAACTGAAGAAGAAGCTCTGGAGTGGTGCAGCTTTCTAGCTTGCTCTGCCCTTGCTCAGTTTGCTTTCTTATACACCACAGAGGGTGTACACTAGGCCAGGACCTGCCACATCTATTATTTAAAAAGAAAAGCTTCAAGACTGGCTTACAGCCCAGTGTTAGGGAGGCATTGTCTCAATTGAGGTTCCCCATTGCCAGAAAACACTAACTTATGTGAAAGTACACACACACACACACACACACACACACACATACAGGGTTTTCCTAAACCAAAATTCAGTCAATAAGACAGTATCATGTGTTTATTAAAATAACTAAGTAGGGCATTGGTAGAAGTAGAGGATCACAGATCCCAGAGGCTCACACACTCCACTTTGTACAGATGCTTTGCTTCAAAGCAATGGGTGATGAAAGGGAAGGTGATGGAGCTTGACAAGCCTGTGGTACCAGGAAATGTGGATTTGTGATACTTACCTCAAGATCATTTGTTCTAGGGAGGCAAGAACTCAGAGCTTAAGACACGGTTCTGAATCCACTGATCTCAGGGCACTTTAGATGTGCAGAGAACAGAGATGATCATCTACCTGTTTGTTTTGCTTATTAAGATGCTGAGGTGTCAGAAAAATTGTCCCTGGTGCTCCCACCAACAGTAGTGAAAGATTCAGCCAGAGCCCACTTCTCTGTGATGGGTGAGTCAATTCATCCCTGGGAGACTTGGAACAATAGTCACTACCACTGCCCTGTCCCCTCCATGATTCCAAGTGCACCTTCTAAACTACTACACTTGATCTCTTTAACATCCTCAATACTCACTAAATAATACCGGTAATATTTAATAAATGGGGCTGTGTGGACCGACCATCTAAGCGGCAGCATCTCTGCCTAGCTCAAGCTGCCATGTTCCATGACCTGAAGCTAAGCGCTCCACAGCTGGAAGAGGCCAGGGGCCACTGGTGTGTCACAGCTAGAAACGGCCAGCCAGAAACATCAGCCCGGGCACCCACTAGATGCCCCATGGGAGATGGCTTCAGCAATTTTCCACACTGTCTCCACAAGGCTTTGCAGAGCCCAGATCATCACATCACCCATGCATTGCCCAGAAGAAATGAAACTCTAATGTTGAAAGATTATATAGTAGCTTTATATATTTGGTAATGCTCAAATAACAAGCCCACACAATTAGAGATGTTACCCAATACCTAACCTTACAACTACCTTACAACTACCTTAGACTGCTGGAGACACATGTACATCTGCTGCCATTTACCCTCTCTCTCCTCTTCCTTTTCCCTAGCTTCTCCTCTTCCTTCTCATTACTACTCCCACATTAGCTCCTCCCAAAATACTGAGTTTAATATAGCAGGAAATAAACCACTACACCACTGGGTTCCAGCACACATCACCCATAAAATTCCTTCACATCACAGAGAAGTGACTTTATTAAATATGTTATCTTGTTCTTGAAGAAAATGGCTATTCTGATGTCATGCCTCTCCCTTCCAGGTGATATCTTGAGTTCAGCCATAAAAAACACACAAAATCTTCTCCAGATGCCCTATGGCTGTGGGGAGCAGAACATGGTCCTTTTTGTTCCCAACATCTATGTACTGAAATATCTGAATGAAACCAACCAGCTGACTCTGAAGATCAAGTCCAAGGCCCTTGGCTTCCTCAGAGCTGGTCAGTAAGGCTCAGAAACTACACCTGGTTCTTGTAAATATTCTCTCTATAAATGTCTAGAAATGGGCTTAGCATTGGAGGGGAGAGCTGAGCAATGTTCTCAGTCAGTCCTACAAGCCAGGGTACATGAGGGTCTCTCTGACTTCAAATTTACTGCCTGCCATTCCCTGATGTATCAGTGTCTTCAGAACACACCCAAAGCCTTCTATTCCAGGTTATCAGAGGGAACTGAACTACAAACACAAGGATGGCTCCTACAGCGCCTTCGGGGATCAATACGGCCAGAGTCAAGGAAACACTTGGTAAGAATGGTCCACTGTATGCCAGGCCTTGTACAACACTTGTACCTCACAGCAGCTATACATGCATCTTGTTTCATGGGAGTCTAGCAGATGCCTGGACCTGAGAGGGACATGTCTGAGGTAACACAAGTCATAGACTGCAGGAGTAAGATCCCCTCAAGGCTCATCTGCTTTGCCTCTGTACCATGTGCTTAACTGGCTTCAGTAAGCTGGCGTTTTCATTTCTCTCCAACATCATTCATCAATATACTAAGTGCCTGGCTACACTTGGCTGAGCATCCAAAGATGCTGATAACTAAGACTTGAAAAGCTGATGCCATTCTTCATGTTACCTGGCATTGCATAATAATGTACTATTGGTGGCTATACATATGGCTCAGTGGTTAAGAGCACTGACTGCTCTTCCAAAGGTCCTGAGTTCAATTCCCAACAATCCTCTTCTGGTTTGTCTGAAGACACCAGCAGTGTGCTCACATGCATAAAATAAATAAATCTTTAAAAAAATTATTCAGTAACTTAAAAACAAAAAACAAAACAAAACAAAAACACAAGATTATTTAGATTAAAACAAACAAATGAATGACAGGTGAGAGAGGAAAAAGAGGCTGGCATAAATGAGAGATAAACCAAGAAAAGGGACCTAATTTTTTAAGGCAGAAACCATATAGCTGGGGTTTTTGGAAAGGAGATTATTCTTATCTACAAAGGAAATCACAGGAAGTTGGGAAAGCCTAGGATAAGCATGCAGGTGTGTCACCTAAACACCAGAGGGTGCTGGATAGGAGCAATGAGAAAGGAAAGCAGGAAGCACCTGAAACCACACCTAGTGAGTGCCCATCCAAATGGACCAAGGAATGGAAGACTTCTTTGGAAGAGCCAGAGTCACTGTCCAGCTGTTCTTCTTGGAGACACTTAGACTGATTGCTCATGGGTGTAGACCCAGCCCCTGAAAACCCATGTGTGGAGGAACTGATTCAGAACTAAAGCTTCATCCCCCACTCTCCCTCTCTCTCCCATCAGGCTCACAGCCTTTGTGCTCAAGTCTTTTGCCCAAGCTCGAGCCTTCATCTTCATTGATGAGTCACACATCACCCAAGCCTTCACCTGGCTCTCCCAGCAGCAGAAGGACAATGGCTGCTTCCAGAACTCTGGGTCACTCTTCCACAAGGAGTTGAAGGTGATCTTTTCTGAACTGATGATCTAATAACAACTTAAAGTCAGGTCATACTAACTACCATGGGGAGGAATAAGCCTCTAGGTAGGGAATGTATTTTTTCATAATGGGGATATGAATGGGAACTTCCATTGAATACATGGATTGGCCACGAGCGGGGAAGGCAGTGTTGATGGATTGCTTGCTGTATGTTCTGCTGATTTTACTCCTTGTTTGCAGGGGGGAGTAGATGATGAAATGACCCTCTCTGCCTACATAACCATAGCCCTTCTGGAAAGTTCACTTCCAGCCACGGTAGGTGCCATGTTGCTTTTCCAGCATCCAAGAGTGGTATAAACCCTGTGGCTTTGTAACTTTTCTAAAGCCAAGTGGTAGCTGTCTTGTTTTTTCATTCTTTTACAATGCTTTGCATTTGTCTGATTCCATTAATGAGCATCCACTTGCTGAATGAAATCCTGGATATGTTAAAAAGATCAACCGGAAAACACAAGCTCTGATACTGTCCCTGTTAGTCTGCATCTTAAATGAAATGCAATTTATAAAAAGGAATGGCTCCCAAAAGATAGAGGAGAGGGTAGACAGACAATCAATGGCAGGAAGAAGATAGTAAAGAAAAGGGAGGAAGGGAAAAAGGAAAAGAGGGGAAGGGAAGGAACAGGAAGAAAGAGAGGGAGGAAAAGCAAGGTATGGAAATAAAGAGAGGGACAAAAGAAGGGAAGGAAGAGGGTAGGAGAGAGTGGGAGAAAGAATGGGGAATAAGAAGGGAGGGAGGAGAGGGGAAGGAGAAGAGGAGTAGGGAGGGTAAAGGAAGTAAGGGAGGGAAGAAGAAAGGAAAAAACAGGGAAGGAGAGGAAAGAAGGGAGAGGGAAGGAGGGTAAAAAAGGGAGGGATGGAGAAAGAGTGGGGAGGAAGGAGAAGGGAGGGAAGGGGAGGAGAAGGAGGGTTTATTTGAAAAGCATAAACACTATATCCTCCATATTTGTCCCAGGACCTGCTAGGACCTTTTCCCATAGCTCAGTTTTCCTTGTTCTGCCAACAGCATCCTGTCGTCTCCAAAGCCCTGAGCTGCCTGGAGTCATCGTGGAAGACCATAGAGCAAGGAGGAAATGGCAGCTTTGTGTACACCAAAGCATTGATGGCCTATGCTTTTGCCCTGGCGGGGAACCAGGATAAGAGAAATGAAATCCTGAAGTCACTTGATAAGGAAGCTATAAAAGAAGGTAGGAATGTGTGTTCTCATGTTTGTCTCCATCCAGCTCCAGTGAAGGAAAACAGGGGAGCATATGGAGTGTGGAAAGAGCATTACATGTCAGTCCCCTCTCTATGGCACACTGAGGTTTCTCCTTGGGATGCCCCATTAAGAAATGAGTCTTCCTTGTAAACAAAAGCCTTCTGTTTGGTATTTTCTGATAGTGTGACCAGTATCAACAAATACAATATCACAGTAGAACACATGCAGGTCTAACTCTGTTACAAAGGTGAATGCAGTTAAAGCCCAGCTTTTCTCTGCTACCTATAAACCTACCAGGAGCAGCAAAGACTATGAAGAAAACAAAAGAGGAAAGATGCATTGAGGTTTTGTTATTTCAGTGGCAACTGTGACCTCTCTGGGAAACTTTAGTAGTCATTTGGTTTGAAAGCTGAACAAGTGACATTTTGTTGGGTGTGAAGGAATTAATGAGTAAAAGAATCATGTCTGCTACTGTCCCTTCACCAGCTCTGCTAGAGCACCATTGCAGATGTAATTTAATTAATAACTTACACATTTCTGTCCATGGTTTTTCTCAATCATGTCCCATAACACCAACTGAAGATTTTTACTGTGGATTAGTAAACGTGGGCGTATTCTGAGTGAAATTTTTAAAACCTTTAAAAACTTTTATATTTCCTCCTTTCTGCATATGGACATGCAGTCATTGACCACTCAGACTTTTCATTATTTCTCTATTTTTACCCTAAGACAACTCTACCCATTGGGAAAGACCTCAGAAACCAAGGAAGTCCGAGGACACTTTGTACAAACCCCAGGCTGCCTCTGCTGAAGTAGAAATGAGTGCCTATGTTGTCCTGGCTCGACTCACTGCCCAGCCAGCCCCAGCCCCTGAGGACCTGACTTTGTCAATGAGCACCATCAAGTGGCTAACAAAGCAGCAGAATTCCCATGGTGGCTTCTCCTCCACACAGGTCGGTGGTTTTTCATCAGAGTTCCTATGGACTTAGGGGATTTGAACAAGAGATGCAGGGAAAGAGACAAAGAGACAAAGGGAAAGAGGAGAGAAGAACAAGGACATGTTACTCGTGGATATTTTGTGTCTGTGGGAAGTGAGGGCTCCTGTATTCCATAATAAATTGTCCTAGTTCCTGTGCCCGGCCACAGGAGTTCTCTTCAGACCACAGTTAGTGAAACAGGCCTATGTTGTCTAAAACTTCTAACCCAGATCCAATCCTTAATATAAAACAATGTCAAAAATCCTGGAGTATCCAGAATCCTAGACATATTATCCACACTCTAGAATAGCATGTGGAAGCCTAAGACCAAACCGACGTGTCTATTGACCTACTGACCTTAGGTACAGCTGTTTCGCTTCTCCTGATAGATTCTCCTTAATCTTGTGGAAGGGGAGATCACCCTCAGGTTTTCTCGAAGCAAGCCAGAGATCCTGCTGTCCCACTTCACCTCTTGATACTTGGGAACAGCCAGGACTGTAAACTATCCACTTTATCATCTAGACAGTATAACTCTCACAAGGTAATATCTCCCACCTCCAAAAATACACATCTACCATAATAACTACGATTTATTCTGGGCATATAGGACAGAATAAGCCTCCAGAGAAGTATAGTGAAACAGTAGAGTCCTCTAAAGGAGAAATACAATGTACAAAAATAAAACTTCCATGACTTGAAGCTCAGTTCTTTCCCTCCTTTCAATAGACAGTAAGTGTTGTGATTATAAAACCCTCGCTGCATGCATCTACTCTCTTTTTGGACTCTGTTCTCAGGACAGCACCTGGAGCTCCCTGGATTAGGAAGGATCATGTGACAGAGATCCTTCCTGGAGCATGAAGTACACTTGCACAGAGCATGCCACTGAGGAGCAAGGCAGTGAAGGACAACCCTAGATCATAGATTTTTTTTCTATTTAATAAGACTGAATCAGGACAGGCACTTGGTCATGCTGTTTGTATGTCTTCATGATTCAGCAAGGGCAAATGCAAGTTTGTTGAGGAGACAAGGGGCATGATTTTGTGGGAAGATAGAGGGTGAAACCATTGGAACCTGGGAAAATCGGAAGAAAAAAACAAATGCTGGGTCGAAAATCTAATTTGTATTTATATTTTCTGCTGGCTGTAGAGGTTGATTTGCATATGCTAGGATACCCTAAGGAGGAAAAAACATGTGAATGTTTTTCACTCTCAAATATATTCTACATAAAAGCCTGAAATTAAATCTAAAGCTCAAATAATTAGAGACAAAATCTCCTGAAAGTTTGTCAGAGCTAGAATGAACTTTGGGAAGAGCTCAAGACCTTCCAAATGGATGCTATCCTGAACGTTTTTATTCATTCCTGTCAGGACACTGTGGTGGCCCTTGATGCTCTGTCCAAATATGGAGCAGTTACTTTTTCCAGAAGCCAGAAATCTTCTTTGGTGACCATCCAGTCTTCAGGGTCATTTTCCCAAAAGTTCCAAGTAGAGAACAATAATCGCCTGTTACTGCAGCAGGTCCCATTACCAGACATTCCTGGGGACTATACCATCAGTGTGTCAGGTGAAGGATGTGTGTATGCTCAGGTAAGATTCTGGGAAGTTGTGGGTATGCAGCAGCTGTGAGCCTCCTTCCCCAAAATGGAAAGTCTGACTTTGACTACCTGCACACATTATGCTCATACTGTAAAAATTGATCCAACGATGCAGTGCAATGGAGGTGAAGTATTTCTGTTCACTACTTAACAGACTGCACTGAGATACAACATGCAATTGAAGAAACAGGAGGCTGCATTTGCTCTACGGGTACAGACAACACCTCTAACTTGTAATAATCCCAAAGGCCACAACAGCTTCCAGATCTCACTAGAAATCAGGTATGCGATAGGCATGTGTGTGTGTGTCTGTATGAGCATCTGACTCTGTCTCTCAGCTACCATAGGGCTGTCTTCCTAGAGCTCTTCATGCAACAGGTTCAAAGGTATCTAAATGGGTGTCTTCATTAACATTTTTGCTTTGTCTGTAAAAAAATGAATAAAAATACTGAAATTCAGCTAAATGAACAATGAAGAATTGTAAAAATATTATTTCTAATAAGTCTACGTTTAGAGATTGTTTCTTGCCCTCTATCATAATAAAATAATACATTATCCTTTTCCATGAGACCTTAACATGGGTTATTCTTCTTCACCAACAAAGAATCGCCTTCCTGGTCTTTTAAAATTCCATTTTTTTTTTTAAGAAAAAGACATTCAGTTCTTCTGACTCTCATCAAAAACTTCAAACAAAATATAGCCTGTAACAGGGTCCAACTGCAGAAAATGAAGGGATCTTGGATGGAAAGAATATATCCAATCCATAGCGTGACTTATCATCATACATATGTGTGTGCTTGTGTGTGTGTGTGTGTATGTGTGCCAGCATGTGTGTGTAAAACAAAGGACAATGTCAGCCATCACCTCTCAGGCTCCATACATACTTGTTTTTGATATTAGTTCTCTTACCAGCTAAGCAGACTGCTGTCTCACCAGCATCCCGGGCAGATCCAGCCATTTTAATGCACTCTCCAGATAATTTTGTTATGCAGACTATATATATTGACTATAAAGATCATATATTTTTAAGGTATGGAAAAATCACAGAGGCTATATCAGGAATTACTGCTGGACCTCAAAGGAGGCAAGATTCAAACTATTAAAATGATTCCTGTCTACTTCTCTGGTCTGTAGTTACACAGGGAGCCGTCCAGCCTCCAACATGGTAATTGCTGATGTGAAGATGGTATCTGGTTTCATCCCATTGAAACCAACAGTGAAAAAGGTAAGCAGAGATGAAATGTTTGGATTCTCTGTATCCTCAGACTAGGAGCCTACCAACACCATCATAATTATGTCAACCCATGTAAGAGCAATGTTAGCACTCACTTAACACACTTGATGTTGTTAAAATACTGATTGATATAGGTATGGATTGTGATAGCAGCCAGCACAAGAAACATAAGAAAGGTGTCTGCGATCATTGAGTCAACAATCTAGCTAAAAGTAACTTTTAAAGTGTAATTAAACTGGTGAATATGATTCAAGGAAAAATATTATTAAATGACAAAATTGAAGTTGTAGTTTTAGATGTTTTAAGAACTACGAAAATTAACAAGGTAAGGTTGATAGCAGAGCTCAGAGAATATGGGGTAAGTACTGCCAAATGGATGATTATTTTTATGTTCAAACAAAAGTCAAAAATAACTATTACTACATCAGATTATATTCAGTCGGGCCTTTAATAGAATAGCATTCACAATTTTCTATACATATGTTCATTCTTACTGAAAAGACTTCTTCCCATTCCTTTAAGTGAATTCAATAACATCCCCTTTTTATCACCTGCAGTCCCACAGTTCATTTACCTCCCTCACCCCCAAGGCTTTTGCTTTTTTCAGTAAAACAGGGGTTTTCTCTCATTTTCAGCTTGAAAAATTAGAGCACTTGAGCAGAACAGAAGTGAGCAACAACAACGTCTTATTATATCTGGATCAGGTACGGTTCCTTCCTGCCTCCTTAGACATGCCGAGGTGGACAGTCTTTGCCTGATCTATGTAGTTTAGGTGAGGGTACTTCCTGCCTTCCTCTACATGCCAATGTGGACAGTCTTTCTTGGTGAGTCCAAGTGGGAAGCCCATAGCAGAAGAAAAGCAATTCAGAAGGAAGCCTTTATAATCAGAAGTGCATTCCCTCATACTACATGATACTTTGAGTTCTATTTTCTCTGGCCTGGAGACATGACTCAGCATTAAGGGCACTTACTGGTCTTGCAGAAGACCAGAATTCAGTTCCCTGAAACCATACCAACCAAAAATTGTTTTTAACTCCAGTTCCAAGAGGTCTGATTCCCTCTTCTGGGCTCCCTCAGTACACAAACACACACACACACAAACACAGAGAGAGAGAGAGAGAGAGAGAGAGAGAGAGAGAGAGAGAGAGAGAGACAGAGAGACAGAGAGACAGAGAGACAGAGAGAGATTTTATATACAGTCAAACAAATTTTTAAATCTTCTTTCCTCATTGCTAGCTTTCCTAGGACTTAGCATAGAGTTCCAAGTCAGAAAGTCAAAGAGTTTAACTCTCACAATGGACAAAGTTAAATATTATACATTAAGGAGGAATATGGATTTTTGGAATGGTTTAATAGACTGGAACTTTAATATACTCACAGAAGCCTCTACTTCAGTACCTCAAGTCCCAGTCTAACATCCATATCACCATATCACCGTCCACATAGGTGGACAGTTACTGAAGACAGTGACTGTGGGGTTAAATGCTATCCGATGCATAACTGAGTCATGCTGAAGAAAAACAATGGCCCCTTTCCTGAGTCTGGATCATTTTCTCTCTCTTTCCCAGGTGACCAATCAGACACTGGCCTTCTCCTTCATCATTCAACAAGACATCCCAGTAAGGAACCTGCAGCCAGCCATTGTGAAAGTCTATGACTACTATGAGACAGGTGAGCAAGAGATGGTAGTGGATCCCAAAGAAACTTGCTGTCCTTTTAGTTATTTGGGGTTTTTTGTAGTGTTTTGTTTTTGTTTTTTTTTTGTCTTGTTTTTTGTTTTGTTTTGTTTTTTTTACAGTTTCTCACTATGTAGCCCAGGCTGGCCCAAATTCTCAGTCTGTCCAAATGCTGATATTACAGACATATGCCATCATACCCATTATTAAGAACAATTGTTGTTCAAGCACTGACCCATTATGTAGGCCAGACAACCATTTATAAATTTTGAGCTAATTCAGCTACTCATGCTATGTTTGTCCAAGAAATCATGTGCCATGTCCAAATAACCCAAGGGACAAAACCTTATAACAAGTAGGGTCTATAGGTTGAAAAAATGGACAAATCTTCTTATGAATACAACAATGGGAAGATGGAAGAGTTGTATGAATAATCACAGAAAGTATAAAAAGATGAGAATTGTAGATTGTGTGCTCGATGGTGAACAAAGAAAGAGAGCAAAGCCAGAGCTTGGGAATTAAATGGAGGGTTTTCTGTGAAGGGAAGAGTTATACATCAAATGTTTCAGACTAGAATAATTCAAGAAATATTGAAGGAAAAGCAAAAACATACAATGGAATCTGAAAGGATGTATATTTCCAAAGATCTTGGCTAGTACTCTGTTCAAACACTGTAAGAGAAGCATACTTTGATTTTTCACTACAGGGTAAATGACTCCAGTGTTGTTATACATTTGTTTCTTTATTGTGTGAGAGGTTGGCACATCCTGGTGCCTGTGGAGGTCAGTGGACCATTTGGGGAAATGGATTCTCTGCTTCTGCCATGAGGATCCTGAAGACTGAACTCACTGAGATCATCAGGCATGGCTGCAAGCACCTTTCCCCACTGAGCCATCTTGCTGGCCCAGGATAAAAGTGTCAACCAGTGGCTTCAAGGGGAGAAAATCCCTCCTTTGATTTGTCTGATGTCCCCAGAGAAATGACTTTTCAGCAATCATCCAGGTCCTGATTGAGGAAAGTGGTCAGTCCTAACACATCACCTACCCTCCACAAAATCCCTCAAAAACTCCCATTCTCACATTTGGCTCCCATGTCTTTCAGATGAAGTGGCTTTGGCTGAATACAGCAGCCCCTGCAGCTCAGGTGAGCACCTAGCATCCCTACCACAAGCCTTCCTCTGACCTTCTTCCCCTCAAAACTATCTTGAATGTGGGTTGGTGAGCCAAGAGAGACAGCCAGGCACGTGGTTGAATGAGGTTTCAACCCCAGAGAACCCCTGTGATGGAAGGTGTTCAGCTTTATTCCTGGGCTCCTGGCTTTCTCAGCTTCAGCCCTTCACAGCCCCTATCACAGAGAGGTCTATGGCCATCGATCACATAGGAATAGTGCCCCAGGCTCTCGCACATATAGATAAGGCTTCCCAAGCTCTCTGACCAAGCCAGTAGGGGTTACCTGCTGCCAAACCTTAACCCATCCAAACTGTATATATTTAGCCTATCTCAAAAGTAAAGTGTGTGCGAGAATCATCTCTTTGTCGTGAACTTCTGTCATGAATCCTCCCCTCTTTGCCAGCTTCACCTGGGCACCTCACCAGCTCACCTCACCCGCTCAGCAAGAGCTGTAACACTGGGAAAGAGAAGCACTCTTTTCCCAGCTAGCTAGCCAGCACCTCCCGGCTCAGCAAAGAGCTGTAACACTTCAGAAGATGCAGGTTCTCCATAAACACCTTCAGAATTCTCCCCTCTCCTCTGTGGGGATGTGGTAAGAGGCAGCGGCAGAGGCAGTGGCTGTTCGCACCCTGTCCTCAGCCAAGCCAGAGATTCTCATGGGACCCTCTCCAGAGCTTGTTCCAGCACCTGAACTTCTGTTAGATGAACTAAGACAATTATCACTGAGTGAAAACACAGAAATGTGCACCTTTAGATTGGTGTACTAACCTACAAAGACTCCTCTAACTCTCTTAACAAAGTGTATGGTAGCTTATGGTAGAAAATATGAAGGATTCCATTCTCCACCAAGGCCAATTTGCTTTCCTGCAGAGAACCCTGCTGTCTGTACCCAGTTAAATTAAACTCATCACATGTGCTGTTTTCTTCTTTTCCCATACACAGAAATTCAAAATGTTTGAGACTCCTATCTGTGGACAAGGCATTCCTGAAATCCCAGACCCAGAAACCTTCAAGATGGTGATTTGTGTTTGTCTATGAAATACAAATACTGAACAAGCTGGGAAAATAAATGCATAGTTCTCGAGAGTCTCTAGCTGTGATTATCTCTTCACTTAATCCAAATTTTCTCCATGTTCAGTTAGTTTTCCCCTATATCTTACATTTGAGATGAGCAGAAATGACATTTAAAGAGAAGAGCATGCATTGTGAACATGGGGAACACATTACAACTGCTTCAGTAAAACAGCGCTCCAAACATAAAGTGTATCACCATGGCAACCTTACCTCCATAAGAAAATCATGATCGATGTATTAGTGAGACAAGACTATACTGCAAGCAAGAAATGGTGATTCAGGCTTGCATTCAGAGCATTTCTAGGGGATGAGGCAGGAGAGTCACAAATTCAAGATGACCCAGGCTACTTTACAAGTGTCAAGTGAACCTGGACTTCATAACAAGACTGTCTCTCAAAAAATCAAAAGGCAGAGATTATGGCTTGATGGTAAAACCCTTGACCATTTTCAAGTCTGTGGATTCAATTTCTAACAAAGGAAAAAGCAAGGGATATAATACATCCAGGTAAAAACACTTTTTTACAAAGAAAAAAAGAGTCCTTTAGTGACAGGAAAATGGCTGTCCTGACTGACAGTTGCTGTGCCATGTTGAAGACCACAATGATAAATCTATTAAGTTATGTAATGGAGGGTGCAGTGATTGAACGCAAAATGTCCCTGAGGGACTTGGGTGTTTGAGCAGTTGGTTGGTCCCAAGCTGTTGCTGATCTGCAAGTGTGTAAAATCTTTGGAGTATGGGTCTTATCTCACAGTAGAGGTGAAGCTTAAGAATTCTAGCTCAACCAAGTTCTGCTTGCTTCTTGACCTATGTAGTATGAGGAATCCATTTCACAAGTTTTCCATCCTTTAACCTAAACATTCCTAGCCACTATGCTTCCCTACTGTGGAGAGCTTCGATGTGCCACACCATGAGATGGCACCAGCTTCCACCTTCTGCTAGCCTGAAAGCAAGTGCTCTCAGTGGTAAACAGGTCCTTATTTGGCTAAGCTTGATGCATCTGGTTGCTTCCGCATACAAATGGCCTATCTGCTTTTCCCACATGGCTTTTAGAGGTTGGCTGATGCAAAAGTATTTAAGGCCGTTGGGTGTGGGCCCCGGGATCAGAAGATTGTTCAAGGTTCCCGAGCAAACTGCCTAAAGAAGAGCTCAAAGGGTTGCGTCTTTCTTGCTGGTCGAGACAGATGCGACAAGTGGTGGCCCATACGGGGATCCTCCTAGATAGCTCAGAACTTTAGCAGTCAGGGCAGCGCTGGTAAGTTCCCAAGGTAAGGTGGGACTATAAAGACCATGGAAAATTGAGCGGCAATAAAGTCTCTGTGAAAGAGCAAGACCGGTTCGCTATAGTAGTGAACTGAAAGTAAAGTGCCTTGCAGAGCAGCAGGCCAAAGCTAAAGAGGAAGTGATCATGGGTGCTTCACAGTCGCACCCAATTTTTTTTGGCTCTTCAGGAGCTGCTGTTATCCAAAAATTTGAAGCTTAAGAGAAGCACCCTTGAGAGGTTTTTGGATGAGTGTGATATCATTGCTCCTTGGTTCGCAGTTTCCGGTAATTTAACTATCACTTGTTGGGATAAATTGGGAAAGGATCTAGATTTTACATGGGGTCAGGGAACGCTCAAGTCAGGGGTCAGACCTGTGTGGAAGCTTATCAGGAACTGTTTGGAGGATCAGAGGTGCTGCAAGGCAGTAGAAGAGGGACAGACTGCCCTGGAAATGCTGAAAGAGGAGCACTCGGTTAAGTCGAGTGGGAAGGAGGATTCTGACACAGACTGGTCAGATACTGATGAGGAGCTTCAAGCTCTGATTGAAAAGGTAGAGAAACACTCTCTGAAAGAAGGAAAGAAGAAAAGGGAGGTAGACAAAGACCCAGAGACAACTGCAGGGCCACCAGGGGTAGTGGCTCCCACTCCTCCACCATATAATGCCCCGAGCGCCCCTATTGGAGGCTCGGGATGTTCATTTTGCCCAGAGGTGTGGCGAGCAGTGAGATCGGAGTTGCAACTTGCTTGTCCAGTTTTTCAAGATGCTCAAGCTAATCTCTATGAGGAGCCTCTTGATTTTAAGGTCATAAAGTTTTTGGCAGAATCAGTTAGGACGTATGACATTACGGCCTCGTTCACTCTGGCTCAAGTTGAGGCATTAAATAGACATTGTATGACACCTAGTGATTGGAGTAGCTTGGCTCATGCCTGTTTGAGCCCTGGGCAATATCTGGATTGGAAGGCGTTCCTCATTGAGTATGCTACAGAGCAGGTTGCTACCAATCAGAGGAATGATAATCCTGCTTGAGATAGGGATATGTTGCTGGGACAAGGAAGATTTGCCAACCAGCAGACAGAATATCCTGTGCAAATGTTTGAGCAAGTAAATCAGATCACCATTAAGGTGTGGAAGTCTTTACCTAATAAAGGGGAAGTAAGTGGCAACTTGACTAAGATTCTACAGGGACCTATGGAACCATTTTCAGATTTCGTGGCTCACTTAGTGGAGGCTGCAGGTAGAATTTTTGGGGATCCTGATGCCGCTATGCCCCTGATAAAACAGTTAGTGTATGAGCAGTTCACAAAAGAATGTAGAGCTGCTATCACTCATTTTAAGAATAAGGGACTGGAAGCATGGATGAAGGTCTGCCGAGAGTTGGGGGGACCGTTAACTAATGCTGGCCTTGCAGCCGCGGTGGTCCAGCTGACCCAGAATAAAAGAGGAAGTTCTGGCACTTGCTTTAAATGTGGCAAGATGGGACACCTTAAAAGACAGTGTCCTGAAAGAGGAAGTACAGAGAGTACAGGAAACAACCAACTCCCTAGGCAGCCTGGGCTATGTCCAAAATGCAAAAAGGGGAACCATTGGGCTAATGAGTGCCACTCAATAAAGAACATTAACAGGCAGCCTTTTACCCAAGGTTATGGTGGAGCCCGTCCAAAACACGGGCAGCGGGGTCCACATCCCCAGGGCCTGCAAATATATGGGGCAGTAGAGAGTCAGGACAAAGAGCAGAATCACGAGAGGTGGCCGTCCTTCCGTCACCCGAGGGACCACAGAGGGCCACTGCAGGTTTGGCAGGATTGGACCTCCGTGCCACCACCAGACTCATACTGACTCCCCAAATGGGAGTCCAACTGGTAGTGTCAGACTTTAAGGGACCCCTAGAGCCTGATACGGTAGGCCTGCTTCTAGGACGTTCATCCTCTGCCTTGAGAGGCCTTATCATGCACCCAGGTGTTATTGACCCTGATTATACTGGAGTAGTGTCACTGTCCACTCCGACCCGGGGAAAGAAACAGCAACACATGAAGTTCTTCTTCCCAACGCAGTTTATTCAGGAACCCTTACATTCTTCAAAAAGCCCCCAAGCCTCTCCTCCACCACCCTTAAATCCCTCTGCCTTCTCCAATCAGAGCCTGTCACATCGGTGCATGTGATAGGACAGTGGGTATGGCAAGATCTGACGTTGCCCTACGTAGCAGATGGCCTGATTATGCATAGCAGTGAGCCTGCACAATATTGCCTGTGGGTGTGGCTTCTTCAGGGGCGTATGAGGAAGTCAGAGTAGTGAAGATCATGGTATCTTCCCCTCACAGGATTATAGTCATCTCTCCAGGAGACAGGATTGCACAACTTGTCATCTTACCTAGTCTACACGGGGGCTTTGCCACACATAAAAGGGAAAGAGGGGAGAAAGGTTTTGGTTCTACTGGAAATGATTTTACCTTTTTATCTCTTGATTTGGATCAACAACCTATATTGGAGTTGACAATTGATGGCAAGAAGATTCTAGGTCTGCTCGATACAGGAACAGATAGGAGTATTATTGCCAAGAAAGATTGGACCTCAGGATGGCCAGTGAAAGCCTCCTCACAAACTTTGCAAGGTCTAGGTTATGCAAAGCTCCGGATATGAGTGCAAGACAGTTGAAATGGCAAGATCAGGAAGGACACTCTGGAGTTATGCAGTGATATGTACTGGAGTTGCCCATTTCCCTTTGGGGAAGGGACCTATTGAAAGATATGGGTTTCAAGTTAAGTAATGAGTATTCAGACTCCGCCCAAAGAATGATGCAAGATATGGGATCTGCTCCAGGCTCTGGAATAGAGAAGTATCTGCAAGGGCGTCAAAGCCCCATATCCATTCAACAGAGACAAAAGAAACAGGGCCTGGGTTTTTGTTAGGGGCTGCTGGGGAGGGGATACCCATTATTTGGAAGACAGAGGAGCCAGTGTGGGTTCCTCAGTGGCCACTCTCCTCTGAGAAGTTAAGCACTGCTAAGGAGTTAGTAGCGGAAC